CCTTCCTTCCTTCCTTCCTTCCTTCCTTCCTTCCTTCCTTCCTTCCTTCCTTCCTTCCTCTCGTTTCCTCTCTTTTTCTTTTTTCTCTCTCCTCTTTCTTTCTTTTTCTTTTCCTTCCTTTCTCTCTTTTTTCTTTCTCTTCCTCTCTCCCTCCCTCCCCTCTCTCTTTTCTCTCTCTTCTTTCTTTCCCTCTCTTCTCTCCCTCTTTTTCTTTCTTTTCCTTTCCTTTCTGCCAGTACTAGAGCTTGAACTCAGGCCTAAGTACCATCCTGAGCTTTTAATTTTTGTTCAAAACTAGCACTCTACCACTTGAGCCATTTCTAGCTTTTTCGTAATTCACTGGAGATGAGTCTCATGAGCTTTCCTGCTCAGTCTTGCTTTGAAGTGTGGTCCTCAGATCTCAACTTCCTGAGATTATAAGTATGAACCATCAGCATAGGGCATATTCATTTTTTTGAGATAAGGTCTTACTACATAGCTCAGTCTAGTCTCACACTTGCCTCTTGCCTCAGCCTCTTGAGTGCTAAGATTATAGGTGAGCACCACCATGCCTAGCCTCACTTTCATTTCTTAAAAAAAAAAGACACAAAACTTGTCCTTTTAAATATCCTCACTTTAACAAATCAAACATTGTTGGTCCTGGTGTGATCATCCTATTTGAAGGACAGTTTTCCTAGGATTTCAGAGGTCTGGGCACACTGGTGTGGCCCAGACTTCTCACTGCATGGTTGGAGAAACAGTTGTCTATGGCACAGGATTTATCCAGAGCCAGAATCCAACCTTGGAGTAGGACCCAGATCTCCTTTTCATTCAAATCCAAATAATATGACATACAATACTTATTCATGTCCTACAGAACATACAGTACTTCTGATTGTGTTTCTCGTTCTTTCCTGATCTCTCACACCGGAGTCAGTGTCACAGAGCAGTGCCTAGATGTTGTCCTTGGCTCTCATGATAAAGGGACCCTAGGGTGAGGGACTCAGAGGTTCCCAGCCGGGGACCCTCAGAGAAAGTGTAGAGGGCATTGCTATCCTGTGCTTCTGAAGTGGCCAGCTTGCCCCCCAGGAACCACGAAGTAGACTTGCTGCCATTTTGCCCAAATCTGACAAGGGAGCGCATAGGCCAAGGTAGTGGAGGCCCCTCTATCCTTCTTACAGGATACTAGATCTTGTAGCCCCATAGCTTAACAGTGCCCATAAATGCTTGCTTCTGATTGATGGCCACCTGGGGCTCCGGGGGGCTCCCACCCCCTTGACATCCATTCCTGGGCCCTTCTGTGTAACATGTAAGTTCTTCCCTCTGGCTTTTCCCCTCCCTCATATCTTCCCCAACATTGTCCCCCATGATGTCTTGTGCCCTTAAACTTGCAGCATAGCATATCCACTAGGTCCATGCAACAACCATCTTTAAGCCTGGGTCTTGCTGACCATGGCACGGAGGAGGAGCAGGGAAGATGGCACGTAGAGTTAGGTACTGTCCCTTTGCCCACATAGAGCATCTTCAGAGGCCCAACCTCAGGACCCACCTAGCATTCCAAACTACAAAGTCCTAGTATTATACTTCTCTGCTCCCGTCTAAAAGAGCTTGGTGGAGGAGAGCTATCATTTGGCATGAAAGGACTGGTGCCTGTGGCCCAGGGATCAGGGTTTGGGCTAAGGACACTGGCTCCACAGGCGTGGCAGGGAAGAAGGGTAGAGGGCAGCTGGAGTTAGGTTCCTGGTGATTTTCTTTCCTGGAGATTGATGTCTCTCTTAGGCACAAGCTGCCTGTGTCCCTGTCCTTCCAGACCCTCGATGCTGGTATGGTACCTAGTCTTGTCTCTGTCCTCTGGGATCCTTAGCTCTACCACTGCCTCCTAGCTTCTCCATCTTCCTTCCCTGATACCTATGATGTCCCTGTGTGTGTCAACCTCTTAACTGTTTCCTTTACCCAGTGTTAGATCTTGGATTCCCCTTCCTTTCCCTCTTTGCTCTGCTTTCCTTGTCTCTGCCTTCTAGAGCCTGCTCTGACTATAAATTCTTCCCCTCCCTCTGATAGGCCAAGACAGAAGAGCAGATCGCAGCTGAAGAGGCCTGGTATGAGACCGAGAAGGTGTGGCTGGTTCATAAAGATGGCTTCTCCCTGGGTGAGTCTCAGGGGGTCAGGGACAGATGTAGGGACCATGGATACTCAGAAGCTGCCTCTGTGTCTGTTGAGGGCCGGAGTAAGCGAAGAGAGGCTTGTGATCTGGTGGGGAGGATGGCAGGACAAAGGGCCCAAGTAGTTGCAGAGGCTTCCCAAGACAATGACCAACTGTGTCCGCGCTCCACAGCCAGTCAGCTCAAATCAGAGGAGCTCAGCTTACCTGAGGGGAAGGTGCGTGTGAAGCTAGACCATGACGGAGCCATCCTGGATGTGGATGAGGATGACATAGAGAAGGTGAGCAGGAAGCTGCTGGAGGGCATGGGAGGATGGGGGCAGAGCAGGTTTGTCCTCTGCAGTGGACACAGGTTCTGCTTCTTCCCTATCCACCTGTCTGTCCTTCTGTCCAGGCGAATGCTCCTTCCTGCGACCGTCTAGAAGACCTGACCTCGCTGGTGTACCTCAATGAGTCCAGCGTCCTGCACACACTGCGGCAGCGCTATGGCGCTAGCCTGCTGCACACCTATGCCGGCCCCAGCCTGCTCGTCCTCAGCCCCCGAGGGGCCCCTGCCGTGTACTCGGAGAAGGTGTGGTCTCTAGGCTACTCTGCTGACTTCTGGACCCACCTATCTGCTACTCACTGGACCTTCCCTGCTTCTCTTCTCTGGGACTCCCCACCCTCGCAGTTGACCTTGGGAAGAGGAGCAGGAGTAGGGTAGAAGGACTTCTTGCAACCTTTAATGGAGTCCAGCACTTGGCTAGTATTTGCATTTCCTCAGAATTCCTTTTACCCCCAGTATGAAAGTCCAGAAAAATGTGAACCCTGCAGGTGAGATCCAGATGCCACCAGCTAAGCCCCTCCCCTTTCCTGTCTGTCTTCTGCTCAAGGTGATGCACATGTTCAAGGGGTGTCGGCGGGAGGACATGGCACCCCACATCTATGCTGTGGCCCAGACTGCATACAGGGCGATGCTGATGAGCCGACAGGACCAGTCTATTGTCCTCTTGGGCAGTAGTGGCAGTGGCAAGACCACCAGCTGCCAGCATCTGGTGCAATACCTGGCCACTATCGCTGGCACCAGTGGGAACAAAGTGTTTTCTGGTAAGGCAAAGGCAACAGGGAAAACTGAGAATGGGATGGGGAGGGACGAGAGGACTCTCTGAGGTGCCAGTTCTTTTTCTCCCCTTGAAGCCTCTCTGTCCATGGGCAGTTGTGGTTTCAGTGACCCTTCATGCCTGTGGATTGCACAGCTATCTCTGGCTTTCCTAATGTCCTTTGGGCCTGTGTTCTGCAGTGGAGAAGTGGCAAGCTCTCTACACCCTCCTGGAAGCCTTTGGAAACAGCCCTACCATCATGAATGGCAATGCCACCCGCTTCTCTCAGATTCTCTCCCTGGACTTTGATCAGGCTGGCCAGGTGGCCTCAGCCTCCATTCAGGTGAGGGGGGGGGTACTGCCTAGGCCTAGGTAGTAGAGTTGGGCCCATGGTTTTTATACCCAAGAAATCAGTCACTCTCTGGGGTCTCCTGGGACTCCACTCTAATTAAATGGACTCAGGTACAGATGGTCCTGGATGATGCTGTGTCACCATCCTGCCCTCCAGGCCTTCTGCCTAGCTCCCTTTTTCTTCCTGAACCTGGGGCTGTTTGATCACCCCAACCCCCTACTGCTGGAGTTCAATCTGTGCCCACTTTCTGGGATCCATGCTCAGGGCTTTCTCTCATGCTGTTATGAGCAGAGATCAGGCCAATCTCCCACCACGCCAAATAAAATTCCTCACCACAGTTTTCCTTCACTCCAGGAAGGCTGGTATCTGGGTGCTGGGCAAAGTGGCAGGACCCCATTCAGGAGCTGGGCCTGTCTTTCCTCTGGCTCTGGTTTCTGCCCTGTTTAACCCTGGGGTGACTTGGCCACCAACTGAGCACCTTGAGAATAAAATGTAGGCTTGGAGGATCAGGCTTGGCTCCTCCTTTATGGAGTGGGAAGAGCTTGACCCACAGTACTGACCTTCCTTACTTCATCTGTGCTACAGACGATGCTTCTGGAGAAGCTGCGTGTGGCCAGACGCCCAGCCAGTGAGGCCACGTTCAATGTCTTCTATTACCTGCTGGCCTGTGTGGATGGCACCCTCAGGTGAGGCTAGACAGAGGGTGCAGTGAGGGGGTTCTGACCTGCAGTCCATTGGCTGGGCTCCTGACCTAATTGCTGTCTGTGCTATATGCATTGCCTGCTACGTGCCAGGCTCTGAGCTGGACCCTGGGAATGGCAAAATGATTGAGATTCAGACCTTGTCTTACAGGAACTTTTTGATCATGGGTCTGGGGCCTTGCTGTATGGGAAGGAACTGATCCTTTAGTATTTCCAGGGCCTTCCCAGGAATCTTTGTTACCCAGGAAGCTAGGTCTGGGAAAGAAAGCCCACCTAGAGTGCACATGGTGGGTGACTCCTGCAGTCATACAGCTAGTATGGACTGAGCTGGAGCCAAGAGCCAAGCCTTCTCCAGTGCCCTACAGTTGGCCTTTCTGGCCCTGTCAGCTGCCTTGCCATGCTCTTCCATTTACAACTTCCAACTTGCTATCTGTTCACTGGACAGTGATAAACGATAAGGCCAAATAGGCAGCCCAGGCATTATCTTCTTTAGCCCTTCTCATAGCACAGGCCTAGTCTGTACCCATTACAGGCAGGTTTCCTGTACCTTTCCAGGGGATCTGGCTGAACCCTTCCTCCACGGCCTCTCTGATGCTCTGCATCAGAGGCACCTTGGCCAATTAGGAAAGGTGGCAGAGTGGGCCTGATAATCATGATGATGGGCAGCCAGAACTTAGAATCTGGAAGAAGGTTTATCTGTCTTCACTTTGGGATAGAGATGGCCTTGGCCTGGGGACCAGGCCATGCTGATGTCTCATTTGTACCCCTAGGACAGAGCTCCACTTGAACCACTTGGCAGAGAACAATGTGTTTGGGATTGTGCCACTGGCCAAGGTGAGGGGCCTATGGGCCTGGGCACAGCCCTGGAACTTGGGGGTAGAAGTAGCTTCAATTCGCATGCAGTGCCCCAAAGGTGGTTTTACCTGTCCCTGCCCTCCCCAAGGGTCTAGCTATACAGGGACATGCTGGGAGAGAAGTCCCTCCCAGATCCAAAGCTAGCATATCCATCTACCTCCGTAGCCTGAGGAGAAGCAGAAGGCAGCTCAACAGTTCAGTAAGCTGCAGACAGCCATGAAGGTGCTGGCCATCTCCCCTGATGAGCAGAAGACCTGCTGGCTCATCCTGGCTGCCATCTACCACCTGGGGGCTGCAGGAGCCACCAAAGGTAACCTGTGGCCTACCTTGTCACCATGAGAACTTGCAGAGGCCCTGCCCACCTCTGATTTAGTCTTATCCCACATAGACTCAGCTGTTAGCAGACATTCAACTTTTGCTTGTATACCTTCTCAGCACCCCACCTCAGAATTGGAGAAGCATGACTGCCAATGAAGGCCAGAGGCCTGGCCTTAGCTGGCAGAACCAGGAACAATATGATGCATGGCAGCTGGGATGTGGGTTGAAGGGAAAGGAAGGTATTCCCTCGGAGCAGCCCCTGGAATAACTCTCATTCTTGTTCCCTTCCTGACAGAGGCCCCTGAGGAGGAAGCGGGTAACTGATCTTGGCCCTCCTTGGGATGTAGGACTGCTTGCCCTGTCCTGGTGTTTCCTTAGGCTTTCTGGGGACTCTTTTTCATTGCACAGAGGGACTGGTCTGGGCAGAAGCCCCAGGTTAAGGGTGGAAGGGGAGCCTGTTGGCTGTAGGGCTTTCCATGTCCCCAGAAAAGCTGCTTTTCTTAATTGGTCTTGCACTCAGATCCTTGAGCTTTTAGGATGTCCCCAAATGATGGCTCATTTGGGACAATATGGGCTTGCTTCCTTCTTGGGGCTTCCTGAGGCCAGCTTCCCCCTTCTTCCCTTTTATTAGTTGGTTTGGTAATCATTGCTTTTCCTTTTGCATGTCAGGGTGGAGGCCACTAGGGGGCACCTGGGACCGTGGTGTTGGATGGGCTGCGGCTTTGGTACTTGGGCTCTGGGGGCTTATGAATGGTTAAGGCTGTGTCTAGCTTGGGAGCTTGGGAGAGCTGTTCCTTCCTCTGAGGTTGCATTAGAAGGTGGCAGTGTGAGCACCTCTTCATCCCTGTCTCCTCCAGCTTAGGATAAAGGGGATGCTGGCTCTGAACAGCACCTCAGGCTTTGGCTCTGTCTTCCTCTGGAATATGAAGGGATCCAAGACTGCACAGCAGGTGGAGGGGTGGGGATGGGGTTAGCACTGATGGTGATGGGTGCATGGCAGAACCGTCATCTATGTATCTGACTCCTTGTGACTGCAAGTGGCACCCATACCAACAAGCAGCAGCTCTGGGTTAAAGTTCCTTCCAGTGCTTGTGTATGTGGGAGGGTGGACAGATGTGTGCCTGTGTTTTGTGTTTGTTTACCCTGAGGTGTACCTATACATCTATGACTGTAGGTGGAGCACTCTGGATATTGAGTAGTGTGGCTACCTCCTTAGAGAGTCCAATATTTTCCATGCTGTGTGTGTGTGTGTGTGTGTGTGTGTGTGTGTGTGTGTGTTAGAACATCTTTGCAGGTCTCTTTCTGTGTGTGTCAATGTATTGGCATCCACAAACATACTCTTTGAGCCTGTGAGTATGTGTCGGTGTCTCCAGAGCTGAATGTGTTATTTTCTTGTCTGCTCATCTTCATAAACCCCCACCCCCCACAGTCCCTTCCTGAGGGCCTGGCAGGCTCAGTTGATGACTGTTTGCTAACACACTGTTTTTCTTTGCATGCTGCATGCTGGTCCTTTGCCTTACAGAAGCTGCTGAAGGTAAAACCTTGTTTCTTGTTAGCTTTCCTTAATTGCTGTGATTAGACTCATGTTGGCTGAGGCGCATATGTCTGTGTGGGCTGTTCCTTTTCCCCTGTGGCCCTGTTGCCTCCCCACTGTTGAGCTATGGAGGTGTCTGTGGTCTCCCCTGGGGCAAGAGAAGGGGGGGCGTCCTAATGCATCCAGGGAAGGGGCAGGCAAGGCTACTCTGTCATGGTGAGTCTTCCATAGGCACTTGTGGTTCTTGCTCTCATCCTGGGTGAGCCCACTTATCCTTTGACCTCGTCCAGCCCAAATTGGGCATCCTTGGACAGAAGGGAGTTTTGAGGCTGACTGGGTGCCCTCTGGTGGCAGTTTGTGGAGTTACTGCTTCTTTTATTCTTTACACCAAGGGACACGGGAAAGAAATCCTGTGTCAGGGACAGCTAAGCCCATGTGGTGTCGTCAGGGCTGGGCTTTGCCTCCAGAAGATATTTTCTCCCCAGTCCTGTGGGAGTGAGGGAGCCAAAGCCACACTTATCATCAGTCAGCCTAAGGAGAAAAACCCAAGATGCTAGATCCCTTTTTTCCATCCCACAGCTGGGCGTAAGCAGTTTGCTCGCCATGAGTGGGCCCAGAAAGCTGCATATCTGCTGGGCTGTAGCCTGGAGGAGCTGTCCTCAGCCATCTTTAAGCACCAGCTCAAGGGTGGCACCCTGCAACGCTCTACCTCCTTCCGTCAGGGCCCTGAGGAGAGCAGCCTGGGAGAAGGCACAGGTACATCTCCCCCCTCCACCCCCCCATCCCCTGAAGTCCCCTTGCAGGTGGGTGGGATTTGGAGGCCTCACCTGGAGTTGGTTGCCATCCTGGGAGATGGGAGAGACTGTCTATGTGAATAGATGCTCTCATGGGAGCATCAGTGGGTGGGCCCAGTCCCAGGACCCCATTCTGACTAAATGGGTAGGAACTGTTTCAAGGTAGGGGAGTGGTCCAGGGGATAGGAGCTAGAGCTGATCTTTTTTTTCCCACAGGGCCCAAACTAAGTGCTCTCGAGTGCCTAGAGGGCATGGCATCTGGCCTCTACAGTGAGCTTTTTACCCTTCTCATCTCCTTGGTGAATAGGTGAGTGTCAAGCAGAACCCAGATTCTCCCCACTTCCCGCTTTGGCAAAGGTAGGTTGATGTCTTTGTGCCTGTTGGCTAAGGCAGGGCTATCCTCCACCAACAGAGGTCTCACTGTCTCTGTGGACAGTAAGGTAAGATACTCTCGCCTCACTGGGGCACAACTTGGGCAGGGATGGTGATTTGCTGCATACCAAAGCCTGACCAATGGGACCCACTCTATGGTAGTGTTCTGGCCAGCTCTAACCCAGGCTTTCCCTATGAAGGGCTCTCAAGTCCAGCCAGCACTCGCTCTGCTCCATGATGATTGTGGACACTCCAGGCTTCCAGAACCCAGAGCAGGGAGGGTCAACCCGTGGAGCCTCCTTTGAGGAGCTATGCCATAACTACGCTCAAGACCGGCTGCAGAGGCTCTTCCATGAACGTACTTTCGTGCAGGAGTTGGAAAGATACAAGGAGGTAGCTTTCATCTGGACCCTGCCTGTGCCCCACCCCAGCCTCACTTTCAAGGCCTCCCTAGAGGGGCTTCTGTGGATGTGGGAAGGCTGATCCTTCCTAGCTCTCTACTCCCTCTTAGTTTCTGCCCTGCCCTACTTTTTAGAATGGTAATCCTGCTCTTTGGCCTTGGTTACATTCTTACTTTATCAAGAATTTGCTCTTGGCTGGGTACTATTGGCTCATGCCTATAATCCTTGCTACTCAGGAGGCTGAGATCTGAGGATCATGGCTTGAAGCCAGCCCTAACTGGAAAGTCCATGAGACTCTTATCTCTAATTAACCACCAGAAAACCAGAAGTAGAGCTGCGGCTCAAAGTAGTAGAGTGCTAGCTTTGAGCAAAAGAGCTCAGGGACAGTGCCCAAGCCCTGAGTTCAATCCCCAAGAACAACAGCAAAAAGAATTTGCTCTCCACAAACTTAAGTTATATTCAGGGTCCCTGGAAGTCCCTCTGTGCCTTCTGTCAACACCCTTCTATGCTCTGAATGCCCAAGGTTCAGTTGATGCTTTCATGTGTATCTGGACCCAGACTCCCTTCTCTAGGGTTCCTTCTTCTTGATTGTTGGTTAGTGGTTGATTATTTAGAGCCCCTCCCTAAAAATGTATCCCAGATGAAAAAGGATCTAAAATCCTTCCTCACCTGAAATGAACCAAGGAAAGTGTTTATCTTGGATAATAAAAGACTCAGGAGGAACATGCCAGTTTTCTTCCCCTGTTCCAAGGATTACGGTGTGAAATTGAGAGTATTCTGCACTTCCTAATCAACCAATGTGAATAACAAGAGGAGATGACTTTGGATTAGTATAAAAAGAGGTTATGAGAATTTTAGCTATCCATAAATAGTGTGATAACTTGAGCGGTGGTGAGCAAGGGCTCTTTGCTCCTTGAAGGGATCCCTTGCATGGGATAGGAGGTTAGATTTGCTGTCCCCAGAAGGCCCTGCATGACCTGTTCAAAGGGCTGTGCCTCATACGTATCCCCGTGCTCAATAATGCTCTACCTTCCTTCTTAGGAGAACATTGAGCTGGCATTTGACGACTTGGAGCCAGCCACAGACGACTCAGTGGCCGCCGTGGACCAGGCCTCCCACCAATCCCTGGTAGGAATGTTGGGGAGGTCTGGGCTGGCCTTGTTGGGTTCTTCTGTACCTTTGCCTCTGATAAAGTCTTGGCACTGCTAGGACTGTCACTATGAGTCAAAGGAGGGCCCACAGTCAGGCCTAGACAGCATGGAGCATAGTGCTATAGCACCCTGGCCCTCAGCACTCAGTCTGTCCAGGAAGGTGGCTTTATGACTGATGCAGTGTACCTGTATTCCAGACAGTCAAACAGGAGGATGTCCCACTTTTTTTAAGCCAGTTGAGGTTCAGGCTTGACTCTGTGGATGGCTGAACCATCAGTGTATCTTCTAGGAGCCCTGGTGTCTGCTTGGGAATGAGGATCTGGGCCCAGAGGACGTAGTCATTCATCCCCTCCCATTGTCCCTTACAAGAGGACTGAGGTAGCCTAGTGAGAAAGACAGCATCCTGCTGAAACAGGAAAGGAGTACCAGGCTTTAAAGTACCCTGGGAGAGGATGGGCATGGGCATGAGTCTTCACCCTTCTACCTTAGGGGAAGAATGCTCCATCATTCTTTGGACTAGCATCTTGCACACCCACCTTAGTGCCTGCTGAACATTTGGCATTTGGTGACTACTTCAATCCGAGGACTTGTACACAGTGCTTTAAAGCCAATGCTGCTTTTTGCTGCACTACTGTGCTTTGGACCTGCTTGGCTCTCCCTCTTCCCTGAAACAAGGCTCTGCTAGGCCAGCATGGGTCAAAGCATAAAGTGCTCAAGTTCTGCACCTCCCAAGGGAAGGTGGATTTCCTTTTCTTGATACCTGGTCTTCCAGGACAGCTTCCCTTGAGAGCCCTTGCCATTCCCAGGAGATGGGAGGCGTTCATCCATGTGTCTTATGAGCAGCACAGGGTGCGATGTGTGTTGGGCTGGGGCATGGCCATCCTATCCCTTTGGTCTCCACTATTTGATGGGCTTTGGCATTAGGCACCACTTAGTGGCTTCATTGTCCTTCCTGCCATTCACCTCCAGTTGCTAGAGTACTATAGATACTCTCACCCCCAGCCCCCCCCACCCAGTCCTCAGTCATTTTTGCTTCCTTCTGGTAATCATGCCGATACCTTGGGCAGCTGGGGGGAGGAGATGCAGGTGGCTGGGGTCAGAGAGCAGGACAATAGCACTTTTCTCATCTTCTTGTCCTCCAGTACCTAAAGGCCAAGGCATATAGTGAGTTCAGGCATTTTCTTCTTGCCCAAAGAAGACATGGAAATTGAATAGGGAAGACACATTCAGGCCAGATGTGACCACATCTTGGTCTTTATGGAGTATAAGGAAACAGAATTCTACCTCTCTTGAGAAGCCAAAGGGTCTACCAACATGAGGTCTGTGTTTTCCTAGGACAGTAGTTGGCTACAGCTCATCGGTGCTTGTTCCCTCTGTCTTGCCCCTACCTCTGCCATTGGCCACTACCTCCATGGGGTCATTTGTTTCACAGTTCTGGCCCTTGAGTTTGACCCCTGCAGGGTCCCACCTGTGGGAATCTGTGCACAGTCTGGGTTCTCCAAGTTATCCCTTCAGCCACGATTAATTTAGAGCTTTCTTCTGGCCAGCCACACACAGTGCTCAGGGCCTTGTGTCCTTTAACCTGGTTCATCTCAGGCAGTGAAGATAATATGGGGCTTCTTCCAAGTTCCTGGCACCTCTGAGGGAGGGAGGATGGGGGTAGAGTCTCTGGATTTGCTCAGTCTTTGTTGTCCTTGGACTTTATTCCCAAAAATTATTTGTTGTGGGCTCTCTGAACTCTCCGTAGGCCTCTTTCCCCGTCATTGTCCACCTCCTCCACAAGGTGTCAGCAGTAAGCAGCAGTGAGGCACTGTGGCGGGTGCACGTGTGTTGATGGTGTATAGTTGGGGCTAGGGGCTCCTTTCCCACAGCTCTACATGGCAAGGCAGGATTTCTAACCTTCTCCACAGGTCCGTTCACTGGCCCGTGCAGATGAGGCAAGGGGCCTGCTCTGGCTGCTGGAAGAGGAGGCACTGGTGCCGGGGGCCACTGAGGACACCCTCCTGGAGCGCCTTTTCTCTTATTACGGTCCTCAGGAAGGTGACAAAAAAGGTATTCCTCTCTTTCCTCAACAGAAGACCTATCTGTGTGGGCCCAAGAGGCACTGGCCGTGGTGGGGGGGGGGCTCATTGAATCCCTAATCTTTGTGCCCTGACCATCCAAAACTTGCTTTACCTCCCCACCTCCCCCTAGGCCAAAGTCCCCTTCTGCGCAGCAGCAAACCACATCATTTTCTCCTGGGCCACAGCCATGGCACCAACTGGGTGGAATACAATATGGCTGGCTGGCTGAGCTACACCAAGCAGAACCCCGCCACCCAGAATGCTTCTCGGCTCCTGCAGGATTCCCAAAAGTAAGGACATCACTCTCAGGTCTTGTCCCCACAATTGTTCTCTGCACTCCCTTCCCCTGGAGGTGTCCCACAGGTTCTTACCAGCAAAGCAGACAGCCTGCAGTCTCTGAGAGGTAATGGCCAGCTGGTCTTGAGGGTACTAGGATGGCCTCTGTGTGGGAGACCGACATGGTTGGAGGCAACTCGTTTTCAATTCGGATGGCAACCTTGTGCTTTGGAGAAGGCAGAAAGAGCCCTAGAAACCCCACAGTCAAGCCCTGCTCCCATAGCTCATGCCTGTAATCCTAGCTACTCAGGAGGGTGAGATCTGAGGATTGCAGTTCAAAGCCAACCAGGGCAGAAAAGCCTCTGAGACTCCTGTTTCTAGTTAACCAGCAAAAAACAAAGTGGAGCTGTGGCTCAAGTAGTAGAGTACCAGCCTTTAGTGGAAAAGCCAAGTAAGAGCCAAGTAAGAGCACAAGGCCCTGAGTTCAAGCTCCTGTAATGGTTTGCATGTACACACACACACACACACACACACACACACACACACATGCTCACACACACACACACACACACACACACACACACACACACACACACACCTGTAGTTATATCAGCCCTGTCACTCAATGATTTTATTGGGCATTTATTCTGTGACAGAGGCTGATAGATACTTAGCAAATAGAAGTGAAAACATTACAAATCTCTGTCCCACGGAGTTTGTGTTCTAGTGAGGTAGAGAGATCATGAACAACAAATGAAACAAGAAAATTATATAGTATGTTAGCACATGGCAAACTCTATGTTAGAAAGCCTTCTGCCCTTTACCAAAACCCCAAGGGGGAGGAATGGATTGCCATCTACCCATCCCTACCTGCGCCTTGGCTTCTGCCCACCTCTTCCTACAGCATGAAAACTCACACCAAGTTCTCTGTCCTGTGTGGGATACAATGCCCTAGCCCAGATGACCCAGGCCTCTGGCTATAACCAGTGGTTTGGTACCTAGGAACTCGAAGAGGGCCTGCCCTTTTCTGTCCCACCAATGTGACTCTTCTCTCCTGTCCTCGCTCTGACAGAAAGATCATCAGCAACCTGTTTCTGGGCCGGGCAGGCAGTGCCACTGTACTCTCGGGCTCTGTCGCAGGCCTGGAGGGTGGCTCACAGCTAGCCCTGCGCCGGGCCACCAGCATGAGGAAGACCTTCACCACAGGCATGGCAGCTGTCAAGAAGAAGTCCTTGTGCATCCAGATTAAGCTGCAGGTGGTGAGTGTCCAGCCAGGTTCTAGCTCCTGATACTTGGATACAACCCAAACCATTGAGTGCCTGCCTAGTGCTGACCACCTGCCTTAACTGTTACTAATGGAGTTGCCTGGGAGTGCCCAGCCCAGCCTCAGGAGGGCAGAGTTGACCAGACTCAGCATGTTCCGGCCCATGGTAGGCCACCTGCTATCCCATGAAGAGTAGCACTGCTGTCTCCAGTCCTTACTGGCCTGGCCTCAGGCCATCAGAGCTCACTGGGCGGGTGCTCCCTTCCCCTTTGGCAGGATGCCCTCATTGACACCATCAAGAGGTCCAAGATGCACTTTGTACACTGCTTCCTGCCTGTGGCTGAGGGCTGGGCCGGGGAACCTCGATCTGCCTCCTCACGCCGTGTAAGCAGCAGCAGCGAGCTAGACCTGCCCCCAGGAGACCCCTGCGAGGCTGGGCTCTTGCAGCTGGATGTGCCCCTACTCCGTGCCCAGCTCCGGGGCTCCCGAGTGCTTGATGCAATGCGCATGTACCGCCAAGGTGAGATACCTCAAACCCTGACACCTCTTTCCCAAAGATGGCCCCACCCAGCCTCCCATATGGAGCCCAGAGAGCTGGAAGGTGCTGTGTCCTTCTTGTCTTAGGATTGGCTCTATGTCTCCTTCCCCATGCTCTTCTCTGCCGTAGTGCTTCATATAGGATCTTTCTTCTCACCTCTCCCAGCGCAACCTACCTTCCTTCCCTTCTCGCCCCCCCCCCCACCCCTTTCTTTGTCATGGGGCTTGAACTCAGGGTCTGGGCACTGTCCTTGAGCTTTTTTGCTCAAGGCTAATACTGTACCACGTTGAGCCACAGTGCCACTTCTCACTTTCTGGTGGCTAATTGGAGATAAGAGTCTCGTGGACTTTCCTGCCTAGACTGGCTTTGAACCGCACTCTTCAGATCTCAGCTTCCTCAGTAGCTAGGATTATAAGTGTGAGCCACAGGTGCCCAACTCCATTCCTTTCTTTATTTCTCTCCATCCTGTGACCTCTCTCTTCCTCTCCTTTCCTCATTCAAGTTCTCTTCGTCCCCTTCCCTCTCCTCCCTACATGCTATCATTTGTTCCTACATCTCCCCCTAGTCCCTCCTCCCCAGTGTGCACAGATCTACTGCCCATGGCAGCAGACTCCGTGCCCTTTCAGTTCTATCTGCCCAGGGGGACACCAGGTGCTAAATCTCTCTGAAGTATTTAAGATTCCCAGGAAAGGTCACACAGACATTTTTATAGACCCAGCTAGAAGAAGTGATCAGAGATTACAGTGCTGGTACTTACCATTCTCAGAGCCTTTACAGCTCCTTAGGCACTGTTCTCAACTCTTCTACCCACCTCATGAGGTAGAAACTATTATCTTCAAGTTAAGGAGACTGAGACACAGAGAGGCTATGTTGTATGCCCTAAGTCACACAGCTCATAAGTAGCAGAGCTGGTTTCTGTCCAGGTAATCTGGCTCTAGAGGGCTTTTATTTGCCCAAGAAGTTAGGAGTTGCCAGGTTTCTGCTTTTTTCCCCCCTTAGCTTGAAGAGCAGGTGGGGTCTCACCCACCCACAGCCAGGTCCCCTTGAGAAATCCCCATGGGCAATGTCACTTTTCCTCAGCAGCTAAAGCCAGGAAGCAGGCTCCCTGCCCTGCTCTAAATAAATCATCGATCTGTCCCCACGTCTTGATATGGAGTTGGTGTTTATTATTTCAAAACCAGATTGTTACCGCTCTGAACCAAAATCAATGTGCTTTACTCAAACAAGCAGATCGATGAGGCCAGCAGCAGCAGGCCCGGTCTCCCCCACCCCCAGCCACCATCGATAGCGCTGATGATTAATTAAGATGCCAGGCGTCCAGACCTGCTATCCCGGCCCATCAATTTAATTGCAATTCAGATACAATCAATAGCTCACTTTGTCTTGGCCCCTCAGCGGCCCCCGCCTCCTGTTTCAATTATCAGGCACATGCATCAGCCTCATCTCCCAGTTGGAGGGTTTCCCAGAGCTGGCTAGCCTGTGTGGCAGTGCGATCCCTGGGCTGGCTGTCAGCAGCCCAGGTGTGAAGTCCAGCCCTGCCTCAGCTGCAGCCTGTGAGACCTCAGGCAAGGCTGCCCATCCCTTTCTAGGCCAGCTGAGGTGGACCTGGTCTAGACCCCTTTCTAGTTTGAAATGCTATGACTCTATAGGAATGGACCTCTTGACCCTCCAACATGGACTCAGGGTGACTTGGGGTCACCTCCTGCTGGCCACTGCTTCAACCTTGCTCCAAGCAAGAAGCCATCTCACTCTTCCCTTGACCCCAAACTCAGAAATTCTTTAAGGAAAGAGAATCTACCAAGGATTTATTTTATTGTTTGGTCATTTGGTGTAAAACTCAAGGTCAGAGTAGAGCAGGCAGCCTTTTCTGAAATTCTGCTTCAAGGGACAGTGGACAGGAAAGGATTTCAGGGACCGCCCATCAAGTGAGTCTAGCTGCACTTTCTGCATATCTTCTCATTTAGTCTCCATGACTACCATGTGGAATAAGTGTTTGGGCCCCCCATTTAAAGGTGAAAATAGGACTGGGCTTGTGACTCAGTGGAGAGTGTCTTTTTAGCAGGTGTGAGGCCTTGGTTTGATCCCCAGCACCAATAACTAACTAGTTAAGTAAGGTGAAGAAAGTGAAGCTTATGGCTAAATATGGTAGTTTATGCTGGTAATCCCAGTACTTGGGATGCACAGGTGAGAAGTCTGAGGCCAGCTTGGGTAAAAGCACATAACCTTATTTAAAAACAAATTCAAGGGAAAAGCAATGAAGGCATGTCTCCAGTGGTAGAGAACTTGACTAGCCCTGAGTTCAAACCCCAATGCCACATAGAAGAAAAAACAAAACAAAAACCTTAAGACTCAGGATGATTGTCCAAGGCCACATGATTATAAGAGGCAGGGCCTGGATTCCAAGGCCAGACCTTACCCTCTTTTTCAGCTATGATTGAAGACCCATTGTTTTTCTTATTAGATCTTCCAGACTTTGATCTCTGCAGTATCACAGAGTCATAGACTTGAATGCTAGAAAGCATCCCAGTGGTCCCCCTGACACCCTAACTTTCTTTCCCGGTGGTAAGCCACCCACCCTTTCACTTGCACACCCTGTTGAGTGGTTGCTCACTTTTCTTTTTTTTTTTTTTTTTTTGGTCGGTCGTGGGGCTTGAACTCTGGGCTTGGGCGCTGTCCCTCAGCTCTTCAGCTCAAGGCGAGCGCTCTACCACTTGAGCTACAGCGCCACTTCCGGTTTTCTGGTGGTTTTATTGGAGATAGGAGTCTCACAGTCTCTCCTGCCCGGGCTGGCTTTGAACCGTGATCCTCAGATCTCAGCCTCCTGAGTAGCTAGGATTACAGGCGTGAGCCACCAGCACCGGCGCTCACTTTTCTTTAAAGGAACCTGCTCCCCTTTTAACCTTTCTGCCCTGCTGTGGAACAGCTGATGGTCCTGAGGATGTCTTTACCTTCCTCTGTCCTTTCTGGGCTTGCCCCAAGCACAAGCTACCTACCCCTGCAGTTCCTGACATTTGTAACTCCCCACCTGGGCACCACTGGCTTTGGAGGCCTGCTGGGAGCAGGTGAAGAGTTGATGGACCCAGCTCTGGGCTGTTCTCTCTCTAGGTTACCCTGACCACATGGTGTTTTCCGAGTTCCGCCGTCGCTTTGATGTCCTGGCCCCACACCTGACCAAGAAACATGGGCGCAACTACATCGTGGTGGATGAAAAGCGGGTAGGTCTGGGTGTCCAAGCTCCCTGTAACCTGTTTACCCTTTCTGAGAACCCCATAAAAAAACTGCCTTTCCTCCCCTAGAGACAGGCTGGGGCCAGGCACTGTTGGATCACACCTGCAATCCTCACTACTCAGGAGGCTGAGATCTGAGGAGCACAGTTTGAAGCCAGCCTGGGCAGGAAAGTCTGTGAGACTATTTTCTCCAATTAACCAGCAAAAACCTGGAAGTAGAGGTGTGGCTCAAGTGAGAGAACACCAGCCTTGAGTGAAAAAGCCACGCTCTTGCTTGGCTGGAGAGAGAGTAGGTTGGCCCTTGCTGAGGGCTCTGCTGAGAGCCAAGCAGGGCTGGGACAGGGCTATCACACTATGACACCAGAGTGAAGGCAGGACTATAGGAACTGAAGAGGAGCCGTACCATCTTTGCAAGCTGGAACTGAGGATGTCTGCTCAGGGTGAGCTAGACATTATCTAAGGGTAAGCAGGGCCAGGCCCTCCAGAGTGGTTGATGAAGGCTAGTAGTTTTGGATGCCTCACTGATGGCATCTGGGCCCCTCAGCTTTGGCCCCTGTGACAGAATGTGGTTCCTATAAGAGGAACCCAGGTGTGAGGCCAGAATCTCTAGGAGAAAGGTTGATATGATAACCCTTTCTTAGTGCCAGGGGTGGGGATAATGAGGTTGCTGGGCCTCTCACAAGCCTAGAATGGTGAATTCACTGTAGAGTCAGTGTCTCTGTTATTCTAGGCTGCCTCCTTGAGCCCCAGAGGCAGCTCCTCCAGTAGCCAAAGGGCTCCATGGACAAAGAAGCCTTCCTTCTCTGGTGCTGGCATAAGGCATCCACTAGACTCTCCAGAGAGAACTCGGTAGTGGCGAGGGTGGGGGGGCAGGAAACCCCACACTGTTGCTCAGCCTTTCCCCAAGGGCCTTCTCCCATTGCCTAAATCACAGACCCACCATTATGGAGGCCTGAAAGAGCTCTTCATTCTCATGCCTGCTATGCTCTGGGAAACCTGGTTGTGGATATAAATGGCCCACCTCAGGCCTCATCTCATCCTCTTCTTGCTGCCCCTTGACCTCCATTCCAGCCTCCCACTTAGGGCTACACAAGTGCTGCCCTTGTCATCCCTGGAAATGTTCTGCCTCCAGAATCTTTAAATAGTCGCATGGCTTTCTCTGACCATGGCATCCATCTTGTATCCTCTCAGGATACTTAATCTTTGGAGACACCATGAAGACCTCTCTTTTCCTGACCTCACTTTATTCAATACCTTTCTGACTTCACTTCCTTTTCCACTCAGCCTTGACACTGTCATTCAACCCACCAGTCACTCGGTCTCCTTCACCCTCAGCTTTCCTGAGCCTCCCGTAGCTCCTGCCTTACCAAACCACTACTCTGAAGGGGCTCCCAAAAACTATGGGAGAAAAATTATACAACTCTGTGGACTTGAATTTCTACAGGTTCAAGGTTCCTAGGCTTAGAGTAGCCCCTGAGATGCCCCGCAAGCAAGCATGTCCTGTGTTCATCAGCCCCAGAACCCAATTTCCTTCTCCACAAATCCCCGCACTGAACCTTCCCAGGTTATCTCCCAGCAAATGACCTTTCCCCTAAACTCTAATAAAATCAAGGATCCACTTCACAAGAATGCCATTATTGAATTTCTCTTCTTTTGCCTCCTTTTTCCCCCACCCGTCCTATTTCAGCAGGAGCGGTGTCCCTCTGATGCCATTCCTTCCTCTGTGCCTTGGAATCCATCCCTGCTGGCTCCCCAGAGACTGTTCCAGCCATGATAACTCATCCTTTCTTGTTATTTAGCTTTTCTTGGTTCCCTTCTTTCCATGGAGAAATGTTTCACAGATTTGTAGTCAGGAAGGAGTCTTCCATGCAGCCTCCTCCTTCCATGCAGCCAGTCTCCTGCCCTGGACCACCATCAGTGCTTCTCTCCTGAGTGTCACTTCAGCTACTGCTCATACTTCACTCTCAGCTGCCTCATTCCCAGCCTGCCATGGTGGGACTGGGCTCCCCATTCCCTCTATGTTGCCAGAGCCAATAGGCACTTGTCTGTTCTTCTGTTCCTTGAATTCTAGACAACATGTGACTTTGCTGATGGCTTCCTTATTTCTGAAACAGTCTCTGCTGTTCTTCTTTGCTATTACTCCTGATTTCTCTTGTTTCTGCTCTCTCTGAACACCTTTGCTTCTCCTCAGCCCCTCAGTATAGGTCTCTCTCTTCAACACTTTCCCCTTGCCTGTTTTCTATTCTACTCCCTCTTCTTGGATCTCACTCCCACTCATCACTTCAATTACCGCATATATATCGATGACTCTCAGATCAATACCTGAGCCTAGGCCTCTCCTGAGCTCCAGGCACTGCCTTCCAGACTTGTCCATCTGTGTTCCTCTGCACACCCAGCATGGTCAAACCAACCCCATTTTCCCAAATGTGCTGTTTCACTTGTTTTCCTTGCTTTGAGGAGTGACCTCTACAAAGTGTGCTTAGGTTCCTGGTGGATAGAACCCTGCAGGGGTCCACATTGGTTTCTCCTCCTTCCTCCCCCTTCCTGTAGCACCTCCCTTGCCCACTTCTCTCCAATCACTGTGGAGCACTTGAGGTCCCCTCCAGGCACTCAGCTCTCCTGGACTCTAGGGCGTTTGCTCCTATTGATCACATTGCCTGAAATGCCATCTCTCCTCTTTTGTCTAGCTGGTTCTTGTGTCTAAATTCTGAGCTTACACAGCTCCAGGATGCCATCCATGCCCTGATTTTAGTTTTTTCTTTTTGTTGTTTTCTTTTTTGTTTTTCTGGTACTAGGGCTTGAATGGAGGGCCTGAGTGCTGTCTCTTAGCTTTGTTACTTAAGGCTGGTGCTCTTCAACTTGAGCCACAGTTCCACTTCCTTGTACGTGCTCTGTCTAACTTAGATGCCTCCCACTCTGAGATCTTCACAAGTTCACTCTTATTGCTCCCCAGCAAGACAGTTTATTCCTCTTATAGTTGATTCCTGGAGACAAAAAGAGGGGAAGACACAAGAAGAGGTTATAGCATCTACTTAAAGATAATTTTAAAAGGGCTGGGAAGGTGGCTCAGTGGTAGAGTACTTGCCTTGCATGCATGAGGCCCTGGGTTCGATTCCTCAGCACCACATAAGCAAAAAAAAAAAAAAAGCCGGAAGTGGCACTGTGGCTCCAGTGGTAGAACACTATCCTTGAGCTGAAGAGCTGAGGGACAGCGCCCAGGCCCAGAGTTCCAGTTCCACGACCAACAAAAATAAGTAAATAAAGAAAGATAATTTTAAAAATAAGAACTCATGGAACAAATAGTAGGCTGCCTGGGCTGGGTAGGGGACAAGGATGAGTCATTGGACATGGGGAGGAGCTCAGTGAGCTCCCTGATCATCACCTCTCTCCTCAGGCCGTGGAAGAGCTGCTGGAATCCTTGGACCTGGAGAAGAGCAGTTGCTGCATGGGGCTGAGCCGGGTGAGTGGCTCACCATGGGACTGCAGTAGGCCCTGACTCTGGTGGCTCTGAGCAGATGGCTGGTCCTCCCCACCTGTACTTCCTGTTCGGTTAAATTTCAGAAGTCTCCCAGTGGCCCCCATTTCTGAGGCTTGTTTCTAAGCCCCCTTCCACTTACTCGGGATCCTTCTTCAAAGCTGTGCTCTTCAGGGCCAGGAATTGGGGAGAAGAGATGTTCCAGGTACAGCAAACTCAACTCTTATCTGCTGGATAACTGGCTTGCTCAGGGCCATGAACACCAATTATATCAGGGAGAATGGATTGAAAGGTGGCTCCGAACTTGATCTGAGTCCTGTGTGGAGAGTGGGGGGAGAAGTGCTGGGATCAGAGGAGGTAGGCTGGAGAAGCCAGAGGCAGTTGGGAGAATGCCACAGAAGGCAGAGCTGGTGAAGAGTCATCTGGAGCTGTGAGGGTGGAGAACAAGCAAGAACGTGGTGAGGCTGTGCCACCACCACCTGCCCACAGGCTCAACTCCTCATCTGAATGGAACGTGATACATAAAAGGCAGACACTACCGGCCCTGGGTGCCAGTGTACCACAGCATTCTATGCCAAAGCATCAGCTGAGCAGTCTTCCACAGGCGGGGAGTCCTGCACACTCTGGCCCCAGACTGAGAAGCTTGGACAGGCGGTGTCTGCGTATGTGCTCCAGGGTTGAAGTAGAGGGAAGAGAAGGAGGAGGTAGAGAAAGGGTTCAGGTCCTGTTTTTCCCTCAATAGGGAGGAAAGGGACTGTTGGCCCCCCAGGACTATGGGCAAGTATGAGGTAGAAGGAATGCTTGCAAAATAGGCGGGGTGTAATACTTCTTCTCTGTCCTGCATTCTGCATTTGGAGTCACAGTCTTGGTTTCTCCTGACCCTCCTTCTCTGTGAATCTCTTTCCCCTTCATCTCTGTGTCTTTGTGTCTTTTCATCTCTGGCTGTGCTGACCTTAGCTTTCTCTTTTCCTTTGGACTCGCCAAGTCCCCGCTGCCCTTGGTTCCTTGCTTTCCAATTCTGTTTTTCCCTCTCCTTGTCTGTGTTCATTTGTGGCCCATCTTTTTTTTTTTTTGATTCATTTTCTGGTTCTGATCTCTACTCTGTCATGTTATATTCGTCTCTGGCCAACACCCACCACCTGAGGCTTGAGCGCTACCAGCTGGTCTTTCTTGCTGAGGCAGTCAGACTTCTGCCACTCAGCGTCTCCCAGTTTAGGTCTCACTCGAGCTCTTTTGTGGCCTTCTGCCCCTTTAACCTGGCCACTGCTGGCGGGTACTAGAGTTGGCAACCCTCCAAGCTGGTTTCTAGACATGTATTTTGCAGGAGCAGGCCTGTACAGGCTGGACTTTTTCCAGCCACTATCCTGAGATAGTGCATCCTGAATTCTCCCAGGTACCCAGCTGGAGCAGGTGAGGCCCAGGGCCCACTGGTACTCCTGGGAAGAGTAGGAGCAAGGTTCATTGTCTGCTTTTGTCCAGTTTGGGAGAGAAAGCTCTAGGCTTGCCAGCTGTGGGTTAGGCACTAGCTGATGAGCAAGGTGCTTCCGTTCATGTTGCTTCAGAATAGGGGTTTTCCTCTGAGCCCACAGGGCCCTGAGGGTTCAAAGAGGATTTAGGGAGCCTGACACTACAATTTGTATGTATGGGTCTTTTGGAGAGGAGGACCTTTCACCTGACACTGAAAAATATACTTCAAAAGAGGTTTGAGGCTTGCTGCTGGACTGGAGATTCTTCTTCCTCATATTGTGTTGCTGCGCCATTCTCTGCCCGGAGCTGACACAACCTTCTGTTGTGATTAGATGGCTGTGGGTGCTAACCAGGCATGTTTATCTGCCTCAGGGAATTGGGGGGGGGTGACTTGACTGTCTCGTCTTTGGTGAAATTTCAGGCTCATATATTATGGGAAATTGAGGTTCAGGTCAGCCTTGAGAACCATGGGAGAGCCCAAAGTTTTCTCAACAGTAGGTTTAGCCCTCTCCCCTCCTTCCCTACAGGAAGCTGTGTTTCTTTGTCCTCTCTCAAGAATACCAGACTCTCTTCTTTTTTGTTTTTTTTTTTAACCACCTGACTCCTCCTTACTCCTCTTACTAGGGAACTTTTAGGCCCCAGCTCCAGGCAGCAAAAGACTGAGAGGAAGGGTTGGGGGGAGGGGATGCCTAGCTGGTTCCTTACTCCTCTGCCCTCTAGCCCCCAAACCTGTATGACAGGTCCAGCTCCCACCCACCTCACTGGCTTCTTCATGAGAGGGTGAGACCTGGGGTTGGGGGTGGGGTGTGGACATGAAAGAGGAAATCGCTGGAATGAAACTGAGCAAGAGGGCCAGGAGCAGGGCTGGTGCGTCCCACCACCCGCATACTCCTTCTCCCTTCACACACTGCTTCCTGGAGGAGCACCCAGACATCTGCCATCATCCTCTTTGACTGATCTCAGGTGCCTGGAGCAGTGTTTGGGCCTTGTGGTAAGGTGTGGCACAGGGGGCATTGACATTATAGTTGTCAGTCCTGGGGGAGCATCTCAGATGTTGCTAAAGGGTATCTTCTCCCTATTTAACCAGTGACTGCTTCATTTCCCTATTTGCCCTACTTGTCATCCCTTTGGCTTCCCTACCTTTCATCTGTCTTTGAAGTTAGATTTCCTAACCTAGCTCCTCCCCACCTACAACCTCTCATCCTAGCCTGTCCCTGCCCCTTCAACCTGCCCAGGGCTCCTCCCTACCTCTCCCTGGCAAGTGAATTTTCAAGCTCTTCCCAAACCCTGGGCCACACTGCCTGCCTGACCTGCAGCCTCCCTGGGCCAACAGCTATCCCTCCTTTCCTTCCCTGGGATGCCCCTGCCCAGTCTCTAGCTTTTCCCTGATTGCTTCTCCTCACAGGTGTTCTTCCGGGCGGGCACATTAGCACGACTAGAGGAGCAGCGGGACGAACAAACCAGCAGGCACTTAACCCTGTTCCAGGCGGCCTGCAGGGGCTACCTGGCCCGTCAGCACTTCAAGAAGAGAAAGGTGCTGCTCTAGGGACACTCCAGCTTAGATGGGCACAGCCAGATACCTGGAGGGGTTGGGGGACACAAAGGCAGGAGTTTGTGAGGTCATGGGTTCTCATCAGCTCGGGAGAGGAAGCGGGCATGCTTGGACCAGGGTGGGGAGTACCCGGTATGCCATGTGGCCTAGTTGGGGGGCTATGTGGAGGGCTAGGGGGAGGAGGTGGAAGCAGAGCCCAGGCAAAAGGTGGGCTCTGGATCATGGGCTGCTCCATGAAGATTAAGGAGCTGTGTCAGCGACTCCTTTTCTTATTAGCAAGTCCATAAAACAGCCAGCACTGCCGCCTCTTGTGTTTCAGCAAGATTAGGTTTTATAGCACAGCTAGGCCAGGGTGCTGGAAATAATCAGGCAGCAAATAAAGCAGACGAAATTATTCCTAATGACGGTGGAGCAGTAAGTGCCCAGTGCGGTGTTTCCAGGGCTGCCCACCCTCTGAGGGATGGAGGGAGTCAGGAGCCAGGTGAGACATGAGAAGGGTCTGGCTCACGGTCAGGAGGTCAGAGACCCAGGTATTGTGCAGATGGTGGCAAGGATCCATGGCTGGACTGGGATTGGGGTACTAAATGCTCCGCCATGTGCCATCTCCACCCCAACTACAGATCCAGGACCTGGCCATTCGCTGTGTACAGAAGAACATCAAGAAGAACAAAGGGGTGAAGGACTGGCCCTGGTGGAAGCTCTTTACAACTGTGCGACCCCTAATTGAAGTACAGCTGTCAGAGGAGCAGATCCGCAACAAAGACGTATGTAACTTCCTGGGGCAGCTAGGTTGTTGGGAGGGCACTTGCTGGCTACCCTGGACTCCAAGGTTTCTTTGAGGTTTTTTGGCTCACTTGTTTGTTTGATCGCAGGGCCTCATGCTTGCTAGGCAGGCACTCTACCACTTGAGCTATGCCTCAGCCCTCAAGGAGTTCTTTTGTATAGTTTAGAGAACTGGGATAAGTGGCTCACATCTATAATCCTAGCTTCTCAGGAGGCTGAGATCTGGGGATTAAGGTTCAAAGTCAGCCCAGGTAAGAAAATCCACGAGACTCTTATCTCCAATTACCCAGCAAAAAGGCTGGAAGAGGTAGAGTGGCTCAAGTGGTAGAGTGCCAGCCTTGAGTGAAAGTGACAGTGCCTAGGCCTTGAGTTCAAGCCCCAGTACCAGCACCAAAAAAAAAAAAAAAAAAAAGAGGAAAAAGCTGGCATTCTGTGCACATAAAATAAGTATCCTTCTAGAGTGCTGCTGGACCCTGAGCAGCCTCTTAGGATAGTATCTCAGACATCCTCAGTTTATGGGAAAGCGTTAGAGAAAGAAACCCCAGAAAGAGGCTGTTGCCATGCCTCCCCCTTGTGTGCTGGCTGGAGCTGTATCAGGGTGCAGGCCTCTCGCCTTCTTACTCTGCTCCCTTTGTTCCTTCCAGGAAGAGATCCAGCAGCTGAGGAGCAAGCTTGAGAAGGTGGAGAAGGAGCGGAATGAACTGCGGCTCAACAGTGACCGGCTGGAGACCCGGGTGAGTTGACTCCTGGCCCAGGACAGACAAGTCTACTGTGGCAGGGTGCCCCAGCCCACAGAGGCTGAGGGAGGGAGGCAGTTCAACTGGTGGTGACCCCCTCCCCCAACTGCAGATCTCTGAGCTGACATCGGAGCTGACGGATGAACGTAACACAGGAGAGTCCGCCTCCCAGCTGCTGGATGCAGAGACAGCAGAGAGACTGAGAGCCGAGAAAGAGATGAAGGAATTACAGGTGAGGGCAGGGCCAGGGTAAGGGTGCAGGCAAGTGGCTGCTGTAGTCTGCTTCCCCAGAGCCACTTAGCATCTTCCATACTAGCCCAGCTTCCTGTCTGTCCTGGGTAAGCATGTGATCAGTGTGGTACAGGACATGGTAGTGGTGAGGGTCACTGGGTGGGACAAGTGGGGAACACAGAACCATACCTCACAACTCCTTTCCTGTAGACCCAGTATGATGCACTGAAGAAGCAAATGGAGGTGATGGAAATGGAGGTGATGGAGGCCCGGCTCATCCGGGCAGCTGAGATCAACGGGGAAGTAGATGATGATGACACAGGTGGGTCTGAGATGGTGAAGCTAGACTGTGGCCGGAATGGCAAGCCTGATGCCCTTCCCTGCGTAGCCCTGATCCCCAGCTTTGTCCAGACCTGCTTCTTCTGTGGGCTATTATATAAGACTAAAGTAAAATAAATAGATGAGAACCTAGAAAGACAAGCACAGGGGATTAACAACCACAATAATGACCATGTCTGAGGGCTGCCTGTCCCTACATCATCCCGTTTAAGTCTTCCTCCTGCTAGTGGCTCCTTCTGTCCTGGGGAAAAGCCATCATTCCAGCGACCCACTGAGTCCCTCTGGTTGGCTATATCTTCTCCTTCTTCCTCGCTCTGCTCCTTCTTGGGGACTCTCAGCACCTCTGTTATCTTCCCCCAACCCTATAGGAGGTGAGTGGCGGCTGAAGTATGAGCGAGCTGTGCGAGAGGTGGACTTCACCAAGAAGCGGCTCCAGCAAGAGTTGGAAGACAAGCTTGAGGTGGAACAGCAAAGCAAGAGGCAGCTGGAGAGGCGGGTGAGACTGGCCAGGTTGCTGAGGCCTAGGGCTGGGGGCACTGTGCCATGTGTTGGCTCTGTAAATGGCTAGAGGCCAGGTGAGCCCTGGAAAGAACAGGGAAGGTTGCTATGCTCACCTGTCCTATGATGCTCAAACTACTGTTAGAGCATTTAGGTTCCCAGGATGATCCCATTCCTCATCCCTGGTTCTTCCTGTCACCTACCCCCCACCTCCCTCACCTTACCTCTACTGAAGAAGAAGTTTCTGGGCGTATCAATGGCTGCTGATCTTGTTCCCAATCTTGGCCTCTAGCTTGGGGACCTGCAAGCAGATAGTGATGAGAGTCAGCGAGCACTACAGCAGCTGAAGAAGAAGTGCCAGCGGCTAACCGCTGAGCTACAAGACACCAAGCTGCATCTGGAGGGCCAGCAGGTCCGAAACCACGAACTGGAGAAAAAACAGAGGAGGTGGGTAGCACTGCCCTGGGTTCTGGGAGCTCTAGAGGAATCATAGACCAAGATCCCTCTTCCCTCCATGGATGCAAGAAGAGATGACCTACATTTGACCAGGAACCTTACCTGCATGGACATTGGTTCTGGCATGTGAAGGAGTCTCCCCGCTGAGACTTTCAGGGAGGACTCAGACTGGGTCTCCACTGCAGGCTTCTGCTAAAATGCATTTTACCCTACGTCTACCTGTCATAGGCCTAGTAAGGATAAGTGTTAGCCAAGCCCTGTCCAGGAACTCCTGTGTCTCTACCTCTGTCCCTGTCCCTGCCCCTTGCCCCCACCCAACCCTGCTTGTGTAGCTCACTCTTGCTTCAGCTACACAAACACACTTTCCTGACTAATGTCATTAAACTACCGTGCCACTTCCATCTCATTATGGTAATGACACAAAGGAGGGGGGCAGCCCTCACAGGAGAAAATCCAATCTAAATTAATTTCCCTGGCTGTGGATGGGAGTGGGATGCCTTTATTAGTGGCACTGAGGAACCCACATACCCTGGGAACAGCAGGGTGCCCTAGAGAGCGGGAACAGTGCCCATTTCTCCTCTGCAGGGAAGGGCTCCTGGTAGGGATATCAGTTGCCTTTGTGAATTGTAACCCCACTCTGTGACCTTGGGAGTGAGGGGGGCAGAGAGGAGCCCCCACTCCTCCCAGTGAGTGAGGCTTATCCTGGGTCTTCCTGACTCCCCACCTCCTTCTCCCCTGGGTACTGTTCTAAGAAGCAGAAAGAATTGTCTGTCTCTGTCCCCAGTACATGGGGATCCACTTCTGTTGTTTTACCCCAATTTGCCCTTTTGTCCAAAGGCTTGTATCCTTAGTAGGAGCCCCCCCCTTTCTGAGCACCCCAAGACAATGCCATCTCAGCCTAGATAGCACGTTAGCACACTCCCTGCTGGGCAACTTATTAGGTTTCAGCTGCCTGGAGTTTTCTTACTTTTTTTCTGATTTGGAGTTGGGAGGGAGGCTGTTCAGTTTCCACAGGAACCTGATTAGCTTATGCAGGGAAGGTGTTAAGAGGGATTTCAGCAATTTGCTCCTTACTTAGAATCATTGGGTGGGAAATGGAGGCTGGGAGGTGGAGGAGTGAAGAAGAAGGCCCCCCAGCTGCGTAACCATTGGAGCATGCTGCCAGCTGAGCCTAGTGGGAATGCTGGTTTCCAACCTGGCATGGGAGGTCATGGTGGTGACCTGGATACTATTGAGGAAGAGGTAGAGCAGGAACAAGCAGCCTCACTTACAGTTGATGAGTTGAACTGTGGAGAACATTCATTTCTACCCATCCTGATGTCCACTCTGTACTCATTCTGCCCCCTCTTCCTTTGATCTGTTAAATGGGAAGATGTAGAGGAGTTTGTTTGTCTCCTTCCCAAGAGCAGAGTGTGGCTCTTAGAATCTCACTTGATGAAGGACTGGCTCAATGAAATTCCCCAGCCCAGGCCTCACTGCTTCATAAGACCTCAGTAGTCTGGTCTATAATCCCCAAATGTCCCATACCCCCCTACCCTGCCTCATGTCACCCTGCTCCCAAATTATAGCAGCATGCTTCCCCCAACTCTGTCTTCATGTTATCCACGGCACCACTTGCTGGTGTGCTCTGTGTCCTGGGGACTCAGACCCTGCCTATATCTGAGGATGCCACTGTACTCCTTCACAGGTTTGACAGCGAGCTCTCACAGGCAAACGAGGAGACCCAGCGGGAGAAGCTGCAACGGGAGAAGTTGCAGCGAGAGAAGGACATGCTCCTGGCCGAGGCATTTAGCCTGAAGCAGCAACTGGAGGTACCGGGCCACTCACCCTCTAAGCCCTGTCCCTTCCACAGACTGGGGACAGCTACACCATAGCCTTTTCTCTCTCATTCCAGGAAAAAGACATGGACATCGCTGGGTTCACCCAGAAGGTTGTCTCACTGGAAGCTGAACTGCAGGACATTTCTTCCCAAGAGACTAAGGATGAAGCCTCTCTGGCCAAGGTCAAGAAGCAACTCCGGGACCTGGAAGCTAAGGTCAAGGATCAGGAAGAGGAGCTGGACGAGCAGGCGGGGACCATCCAGATGCTGGAACAGGTGCTGGAGGCTTGGCCAAGGGAGGGAGGAGGCACAGCTGGTAGCACTCCCAACCCCACCATTCATCCAGGGTGTGGACTGGGAGATAGTAAGGTCTTCATTCATTCACTTCCAAAAACATCTAAAGTGAGACAGCCAGTTTGGAGACAACTACGCTTTCTTCAGACTTTTACAACAAGACTTGGTTGAGCAGTAGCAGGGGGCAGTCAGAGGGCCAAGACTATACCCAGCCTGTACCAAGCCACCAAGTCAGTTCAGGGGACTAGAGTCTGCAGGCCCAGGAGGAAAGCTGCAGGATTGTGCCCACACTCTGCAGTCTCTTTCTGGGTCTGGGCCAGACATCCAATAAGGGAGTGCGGTTTCTCTGGACAAGCCCGTTGCCAGGGAGCAAGGTGCAAGTAAGCCAAGGGACTGACTGGCAGTGGAGCTGTGCTCTGCTCCCAAGCCTAGAAGGGTGTACATTGGGGTACAGCCTTGCTGGGAAAGGATCCCAGTGCTACTCCTTATACCTCCAGGCCAAGCTGCGTCTTGAGATGGAGATGGAGAGGATGAGGCAGACCCATTCCAAGGAGATGGAGAGTCGAGATGAGGAAGTGGAGGAAGCTCGGCAGTCATGTCAGAAGAAGGTATGACATCTGGACGCTCCCCTGCCCAGTCTGAGCACCTATGCCCTTGTCACCACTTTAAAGTGAGAGAGGCTTTGTTTCTCTATCTTAACCACCCCATCTGGATCAGGAATCAGTCTGGATCAGTCTGGATCAGGAATCTCCTTTCCAGAGCCTGGCTGAGCTGTGTCCCTCAGTCTCTTAAGAGTTTGAGCTCTTGAGGAACCTTTGCTTCCTCCCTCTGCACCTCCTCTGTACTCATCTGTGTTGCTCTGGGACTGCCTGCTACCAGCCAGCCTGTCCACAGAGGTCCCCAGCCTGTGTGAGGTCTACTATGGGTGGGGTACCCGCTGTGTGGCCGGCCATCCTCCTTGCTCCCAGCTGCTGTGAAACCTTAGGAACCTGGAATCTGGGCTCTGACCTCCTAGGGTCACCTACCCTCAACTCTGCCTCACTGTTTTCCTGGGATAAGAGACCTTTTGGGGGAGGGGACTGCCTGTTCCTGGATTAAAGGGACAGTGAGCCTCTGTCTCCATGGCACACCAGTTAAAACAAATGGAGGTGCAGCTCGAAGAAGAATACGAGGACAAGCAGAAGGCGCTGCGTGAGAAGCGGGAGCTGGAGAGCAAGCTTGCCACACTCAGTGACCAGGTATGTGGGGCCCCTCTGCTGCCTGAGCCCACCAGCTGCCTGCCCCACTGGCCTGAGGATGGTCTGGGCGACAGTAAGCTGGGAATGCAGCACCCACTATTCACACTGTGGGACGGGCAGCACACACCATACATTGGCACACCCAGGCTTCTCTTGGTTGGCGTGATCCTAACATGTCTAGTATCCTTGTTGTTTAGGGGAGTCTGAGGATGAGGGCAGGAGGAGGGATGGGCTGAGGGAAGACAGGACTCCCAGTGGCAGAACCCAGGACTCCACTGCTCATGTCTACACAGGTGAATCAGCGAGACTTTGAGTCAGAGAAACGGCTGCGGAAAGACCTGAAGCGCACCAAGGCCCTGCTGGCAGATGCCCAGATCATGCTGGACCACCTGAAGAACAATGCCCCCAGCAAGAGGGAGATTGCCCAGCTGAAGAACCAGGTTTGCTCAGAAAAGCCAGGGCAAGGGAGCTGGTTTGTTTAATCCTCTTCTCTCACTGGCTTTTTTTGTACTAGTACTGGGGCTTGAATTCAGGACCTTAAGATCTCACTTAGTTTTCATATTCAAGGCTGGCACTCTCCCACTTGAGCCCCAGCTCCACTTCTCACTGGCTCTTGAGTCCTTGGAAAGGAAGGTGACAGGAAACTGGGGAGAAGCCACTTATGGCAGGCAAATTCCCAGGGGTCTCTGAATGTGTTGCCTGACTGCCAAGACCCAGGGTGATGAGAACAGGGCCTGGCACCTACCATTGATGTCACTAGAGCAAAGTTGGTATATGTACTACATCCTGGCTTCTGCCCTGGGTCTAAAAATGAAGGGAGGAAGAGGAGGAGAGCATCTGCACCCCTTCCCCCAGGGAAGCACTTTGCACAGCCCCTCTGCCCCAGGAAGTGGCTCATGTCTCTCCCTGGGGTGGGGGTGGCTCTATGTCCAGCTGGAGGAGTCAGAATTCACCTGTGCAGCAGCTGTAAAAGCACGGAAAGCAATGGAGGTGGAGATCGAAGACCTGCACCTGCAGATTGATGACATCTCCAAAGCCAAGACAGCGGTAAGACACCAGGGTTTTGCAGGGCAGGGTATGTGGCGGAGGGGGTGGGGGTGAAGGGAGAATATAGCCAAGATGATGCTACCTTCACCCCAAACAGGGCCCCTCATGCTGAGACTTTCTATAGGACAGTGGTCTCTCCCCACTCAGAGCAGAGGCCTTGAGAGCACGGCCAGCCAGAGCCCATCTCCCTGTTTAGTCACCTGCCTGCAGGAGCTTGGCTGCAGGCCCCAGCACCATAAATAAAAGCAGCTAATGTGGCTGAGGGACATAAACAGGTGCCTTGAGATTAGCAGAAGCACCAATGAGAGGCTGGCATGGCTCGGCTTCCCTCCCCTCCTCCTGCCCAGCCCACTGACAAGCCCAAGCGGCAGCTAATTAGAGTTCTTATTTAATGCCTCCCTTTTAATTCTCCACCTCTCCCACGGCCATCCATCGGCAGAGACTTCACTACTGGGATGTAGCCACTGGTACCTCCTTGGGGCTGGGAATAGGGCAAAGGAGGAGGCTGGGTTTGGCTGTTGGCCTCATGGCCCCCTAGCTAGTCACTCTGCTGCTGAGAGATGCCAATCTCACAGGCTTGATTTATCCTTGTGACATTTGTGCTCTTCAGCAGTTTTCAGGTGAGTAATTCAAATTCCTTAATTGTGTTAAAAAAGGCTGTTATAAAATTACCATTTTATTTAAATCTGAGTTAATAAATTTCTTGGCGGAGGCTCCCCAGCTCCCCACAGCCCAGTAACAAGATGGATGGGACAGAGAAGGAGCCAACGCAGTCATTTTGGTTTGGAATTACAGGCTAATAGATTCATTCATTTCCTGAAGCTGCTGGTGCCTGTCTCTTCCCCTCCCCCCCAGGAGTGGACTGGTGGTGGGGGTTGAATGGCCCAGGGGTGGGAAGCACAGGGGAAATGAAATCCAAGCCAAGGGGTGTCACCAACTTGAGGAGTCCTTCCCTGGGATCTGAAGTGGGCAGAATACAAGCAGGTCAGGGCCTAGGCTGATGTGCCAGGATGACAGGTCATTTGCTCTGGGCAGAATTCCTGTGCCTTCTCATTAGCCTCAAAAGAGCTGCCAGAAAGCAGCTGTCATTTGTTCAGTAGCCCAGGGTCTGCCTGTCCTGCACAGTCAGCCCTGTCCCTCATCTCCTCATCTAGAACATGTTAGACAGCTCCTCCAGCATCATTGGTTCTGAAATGCACTCCAGTGGGTGAGCCCAGCCCATTATCATCTCCCTACCCTACTGTCACCCGTATGTAGAGGAGGTAACACATGGGCAGGTTTGGGCTTACCACCTGGGTCCTGTAGGCACCCCAGGCCTGATGCCCTCTAATCTATCTCTGCCTCTATCCAGCTGGAGGAGCAGCTGAGCCGCCTTCAGCGTGAGAAGAATGAGATCCAGAACCGACTGGAAGAAGATCAGGAGGATATGAATGAGCTGATGAAGAAGCACAAGGCTGCTGTGGCTCAGGTACGTTTGGGAGGAGTGGCTGAGCACCCTGCATTGTCACCGTCCTCTGGGTCACTTTGTGAGTCCCCAGCACCGCCACTCCTTTGAGGAGCCATAGCATGGAATCCTGGGTGCCCTGGCCCTCAGTGTGGGAGGAGGATGTTTATAGATCCCTTGGATTTGTGTTTAGGGATTGTGTGTTAGGGTGCTCCATACTCTTACCCCTTCTCCAGGCTTCTCGGGACCTGGCACAGATGAATGATCTCCAAGCTCAGCTAGAAGAAACAAACAAGGAGAAGCAAGAGCTGCAGGAGAAGGTAGGTTCCAGAGATGTTTCGGGGTTACCGGGGGTGAACCCCTAAGCTCATGGTATGAAAGGTACTTATCTGTGCCATCAGTAAACCTCAGAACAGTATAAGCTAGTAGAGCTAGGCTTGGAGCCACATCACCATAGCAGGTATTTTGGCTTCAACTGCCTCATTTCACATTCCTATTCTCTCTCTGGTCCTTAGCATTTTTATTTATCTCTGAAGGGCAAGATGTGTGCCAAGTGTTGGGGCAGGTGGAGGATGCCTCTGGCTCAGAGCCCCTCCTTCCAGCTTCCTCTGTGTATCCTTCCCTGCCTCAGCCTTTTGGTCTCCATGGTGATGTTGCGTGCCCCAGACTGTCCCCTCCCTTTCTGGGCTCAATTCTTTCTTCTCTTACTCTCCACAACCCCAGCTCCAAGCCCTTCAGAGCCAGGTGGAGTTCCTGGAGCAGTCCATGGTGGACAAGTCCCTGGTGAGCAGGCAAGAAGCAAAGATCCGGGAGTTGGAAACACGCCTGGAGTTTGAAAAGACCCAAGTGAAGCGGCTGGAGGTGGGTTTGGCTTTCTCTTCATCCACTTGCAAGCAGGAAAGAGATGCCCCAGCAACTGGAGCCACGCATGCTCTGCAGGGTTGTGCAGGCCAGGGACACTCCTCAGAGGCCTCTGCCAAGCTGCTAGGCCGGCTGACAGGGTGGGGGCTCCCCTCCCACCCGCCTGGCCTGTTCTCTGGGCACAGTGGAGCCTGCCTGCTTTACATTCTGTTTCCGTGCTTGCTTTCTGCCAAGGGACCAGAGCAGCTTAGCTTTTCGTCTTCATATTTTCCTCTGCCACAAGCTCCCCTCACCCCACCCGTGCCTGTCCCCCTCATTCGCTCTCTGGCAGGGTCATAAATATGCAGCGGATGGCGCCACTGCTCCAAGGGTTGAAGCCTGTTCTCATCTCACTGCTTGCTCCTCCTCTCCTCTTCCCTTTGCTCTCTGTTTTCCTTCCTTCCTTTCCACCCGTCCCAGATTTGCTTTTTCTTCATCTCCATTTTTTCCCTATTATTCTATTCTTTGCCTTTTGTATCCTTCATCTACCCATCTTACCCTCTTCCTATGTCTTCCTTTGTCTCCTTCCTATCCTTTTTTTCTTTTTCTTTTTCATTCTTATCCCATTAAGCTTTTTAAAATTTCTTGACCTCATTGATCCCTCCATCCTCCAATGGAATCTTTGTGTTCCAGTACTCAGTCCTTCCTCTTCTAGTATCCGAGGCCAGCATTCTTCAGTCTTCCTTGTCTGGCAGAGCAGAAGGGAAGAGAAAAGCAGCAGAATTATCTTTCTGGAGATAGGGAGGAAGGGACTATGGCTGGACCTACTAAGACAGGATGCTAGTCCTCGTGAGAGCTAGAGAGAACTAGAGGAAACTTAGAAGTTCATTTTTTGTCCTCCACAGCCCTAAGACAATTGCTAATATTTTGACCCCCATATCATATCCTGGAAAGAATGCCATTGGCTGCTTAAGGTTACAAAGCCATCAGAGAACAGAAGAGGCCTTTGGGCTTCTGGATACAGAGCTGACCTGCTGTACTTGTCTTTTTTTCTCATATGCCCTAGTTCCTTCCTTTAGTTTCCCTCTGCTCAGAAACACAATATTGTGGTTTAGATTCATAGAGGGTTAAAAAACAAATGGTCCTTAGTGAGAATGGAGCCTGGACCTGTCACGTTAGAAATACAGGGGCTAGGGGCAATCAGTTGTAGAACCATACTCTGCTCCTGGCAGTAGGTCATTTCTTGCTCAGCATCCTAATGGCCTTGCTGTTCAAGTTTCTTGGGGAAGAGAGTCCCATGGGACTAAGAGAGATGGTCCTATGCTTGGATCTGACGGTGGTTTAGTCTCTCCTAATCTAAGAGCTCTTTAAAAAGCCAATTATCTCTCAGCACAGAATCTAGCTTTTGGGGTTCTTAGGTTTAGAGTCTGAAAGAAATCCTGCTGACCATGGAGACACCTACATAACAGGCCTGGACTCTGCCCAGTGCCTCCCTCAGTCTTGGCATTGATAATAATGACCATAGATAGCCCTTCCTTTTTTGCAGTGCGGAAACACTCACAATCCTCAGAAGACCCATGGACACAGGTGTTATTCCTCTTCATTCTCTAGAAAAGCAAAAGACATCCCCCTCCCCTGCCAGTGGTTTTAGTCTCCTGTCCTTGTAGTTGAGAGTTGGGGAGCTAGAGTCTACTGATCTGAAACCCTGCCTAACTCAGTTTTCCTGGCTGATCTTTCTCCCCTGCCTGCCCACCCAGGGCCTGGCCAGCCGGCTCAAGGAAAACATGGAGAAGCTGACTGAGGAGCGGGATCAGCGCACTGCAGCTGAGAACCGGGAGAAGGAGCAGAACAAGAGGCTACAGAGGCAACTCCGAGACACCAAGGAGGAGATGAGCGAGCTCGCCAGGAAGGAGGCTGAGGCGAGCCGCAAGAAGCATGAATTGGTAATCCCTTCCTGCTACTTCTCTTGGGCCTCAAGTTGGGGGCCCTCTGATTAGGGCTTTGAGGGCATATGTATGTGAGGGTTGTGGGGGGGGGCGAGGAGTAAGATAGTCCAGAAGACAGGTTAGAGAGCCAAGAGTGGTGCCAGAGTCTCCATCAGCTGAGACCAGCCCCAGGAGTCCTGAAGCCTTGGCACAGAGAAGCCTCGGAAGGCTTTTAGGAGAGATTTGCATACTCTTCTGGGGCAGCTTGGGCAGAGAGTGACCCTTCTGTATACTGAACTACCCACCCCCACCTAGGAGATGGACCTGGAGAGTTTGGAGGCCGCTAACCAAAGCCTGCAGGCTGACCTAAAGCTAGCATTCAAGCGCATTGGGGACCTGCAAGCTGCCATTGAGGATGAAATGGAGAGTGATGAGAATGAGGACCTCATCAACAGGTAAGGGGGGGAGCCTCCGTGGCCTTTTGGCTAGCACAAAGGCCCTTGATCCACTATGGAACCAGGCCCCAGGAGACACACCTCTGCCTCCATATCACTGAACCACCAACCTCCCTGCCCCTCACTATGTGACTGTGGTCTGGACCCTGGCCTGAGAGATTGAAAGTGGCCCAGTTGCTGGGGGCACAGCACCCTCCCCTCCTTCCCGTGCTCCCTTTCTCAAGCCTCTCGAGGACCTGGCTCTCTAGCTCTGCCTGCTCAAGATGAGTTATTCCCCCATTTAGCTGCATTTCCGATGGCGCCTACCCCACTCTGGGGAGAGCAGAGATTTAAAGGCTGTGGTGCCTTGTTACTGTGCCAAAGATTTCTCTCATAAAACCCACCCAGGGAATGGTTTAGATGAGAAAAAGGTGGCTGGGGGGAGGGGGGATTATATATTTGTAGTTCTAAGCTAAGGAGAAAGTCACTAAGCAGGAAGAGCAGTGCAGAGGTGAGGTGAGGCCACAGAGAAGCCCTTGATAATGCCCTGAGCCAGACTCAGACCTGCCCCCTTCCTTCCTCAAGGCCAGGCCAGGCCTAGGGCAACCCAGAAAGCCTGCTCCTTTGAGGAGGGGCACAAGTGTCAGCGATTGCCCAATCCAGTTCTGAAGACACTGTCACTTACCTTCCCAATCCCCCATCCCCCCAAACTGCCTGGTTAGAGCCAGCCAGAGCCATCTGCAGAAAGAAGGGGCATCAATCCGCCCATTGGTTTTCCCATCTACTTCCTCTAGACCCCTTTGCCCACTATTTTCTTTGTTTTCTAGTTTGCAGGACATGGTGACAAAGTATCAGAAAAGAAAGAATAAACTGTGAGGACTGGAGCGCATGCGCTCCCTACCTCTCCTGACGGGTGTCTAACCACCCCTAACAAGAGGCTCCCTCTACCCCAGAGTCCCCTGTTGCATGTCGCATGTGGACACAGCCTCCTAGTTCTCCTCTTCTGCTGATCTCTAATGCTAACACTGCTGACTGTCCTCGGGGAAGCAGAATGGGCTGGGTCCTGGCAGAGGCAGAGGAAGGGTAATGAAGTGTGCTACAAGGCTGGGCTGGCTCTCACACCCTTGGTGGGAAGGATGGGGCTCTGGGGAAGGTCTGGCTTTGTCCATATATCCTTGGACTCCTTTGGAACCGGAGCTGCCTAAAAGGAACAGGTATATTTTGTGTTTAAGCTCTGCTACCTTCCTTTGGCAGACAAGGGTAGAAGGTGAGAGGCACCTAACAGCTGTTTGTTTGGAGAAAGCATTCAGGCAGCTAACCATGGGCTACTCTACCATGGCAGGGAAGGAAACAAGGCCAGTTGTGTTTATTTTGCTCCTCATGGGTATCTGGGGATGGCGTCTGTGATAGTACTGCCTGTCAGATGTCTCTCTTCTTTTTCCTCTTTCTGGGTGGGAGCTGGACATTGGATGCAGATACGTAGACCTTCAGGCAAATCTGGCTGATCCTCTGTCAAGTTCGACAGGGTTGTATTTGGAGGTTGTTGTTTGTTTTTTTTTTAGTATGGCACTTGGTTTCCTCCCTATTCTTTTGCCTGACAGGCGTCCTCCCCTGGCCAGGATGGGCTGGCAACAGTGCAAAGGACTCCGTGAGAGCTAATGATAAATGTAATAGTGTGTAACAGTGATAGAGGGCCGCTGGAGCCCGGTTGTCACACACAATTAATATCCCCCGCCATTCTGTCTCCGTTTGTTTGTTCCCCCGTGATTCGGCTCCCAGTTAACTAATAGCACATGAGCCCGGACATAAATTGTATTTGACACGAGGTTTAATTCCGACCATTTAAAATTTCAACTGCCCCCTGAGCCTGTCTGCCCCTGGAGTTTGTTTACAGGCTTGATTATTTAAGGAAAAGAACCCGAACATTGTCTGGATGCTTGCAACCAAAGGGAAGATGAAGGCAGGCAGGACAGTTTCTCAGCCCATTCAGTGTTCTAAATGTAAGGAGAAAAATTTGTATTCTGCGCCCACATTTGTCTGTCCCCTGTGTGTTTCAGCCCTGCCATCCTTGGGCAGTAAGAGCTTCGAGGGCTGATAAAATTGCGCATTTGAAATCATATTCCAAACCATAGTCAAACACACACAGGGGCATGTGTGTGTGTGTGTGTGCGCGCGCACACACACACACACCACACTTGATGCAGGCACATGGGAATGTGCAGTTCTAAGTGGGTTCTGCTGATGGCAGAAAGGTGGTGTGGCTCCTTCCCCAGCAGCTCTGAGCCTCAGCTCCAAGTTATCGAGCGAGTGTGCTAAGGCGGGCAGAAAAATAATGTTTCGATTTACTTAGAGATACAGTTGTTATTGCCATAACCTTAATGAAAGCAGTAAACAGTGCAGTATTAAGGGAGATTTATACAGAAACGCTTTTAACATGTAGACATAGATTTTGCGATGCATACAGCACCTCCTTTCTAAAGGCAATCAATATGGTTATGAACGGCGGTGATAAATTACAGGCTCTGAAGCTACAGAGGGAGGTTTTTCACACGGGTGTATAAATCAGGTGGTATTGGCATTCCATGGGGCCCATGCACCACAGTAAATCTGCCAGGTTTGGACGGGTACAGGGCTCACATTAGCGGTTTCTGGACTGTCTGCTAAACTCCTGTTTACTTGGGGCATCAGCTGACCTCGCCTTCCTTATAATTCTGTTTTTGACAGAGGCCCATAAAATATGCCTCTTTAATTCCCTTCTCATTGTCAGGCTTGCTCACAATCCCCAGAACTGAGTCTAGTGGTTTCTTCCCATTGTGGCTGTGGTGGTGGTGGTGGTGGTGATGGTGTGTGTATTTGTGTTTGTGTGTGTGTGTACATGCACGTACGTGCCAGTATGTATGTGTATGCTCCTGTGTGGCTATTTATTCAAGAATATAATTCAGAAATGGGGCCGCTCCTGTTGACACAGATGAAAGGAAATTTATATCAAGGAGAAATCCAAGTCTATCTGTAGCAGGGAGGGGGGCTTAGTGAGCAGACATTTTGCAGAATTTGCAAAGCATTCTCGCTCAGAAGCTGTCTCCATGCCCCAGATGCTTTGTGAAAGGGTCACCCTGATTCCAGCCTTAGAATTGGATTCTTTTGGGCTTTCTTGCACTTCCTGGGGTTAGCCTGGCTAGAAGCAGCAGTAAGGAGCTAGGACTAGAAGCTATTTGAGGGAGAAAAGAGAAGATTTAGAAAGTTAGAGCACTGGTCTAGGAATTTCTAAACCCAGTTAGGCTTTTCAGGGCACTCTGGACCCTGAGGCCATGGTGAGGCCCTTAGGAAATGCTAGTGCCCTCCCCACTTCTTTTCCTTTCTCTATTTCTTTTAGGCCAGGAAAGTCACAGGATGGACCTAAGATATGGCCAGTGCCTCTTTAACCTAATGCCCAAGTACTAGCTAAGGAAATCTTGCGATTCAAGTTAACATGAAGTCATGCAAAGTCCCTCTCTTCTGCCCTGTAGCTGGCAGTCCTGTTCTTACAATAAAGGCATAGGAAATGGTAGCATCATCTGGAAACAGCAGCATAGGACTCAAGGGGCAGCTGAAGAGCTCAGGACACTTCTTTTTAACCAAGGGCCATTTGGCTGGATCAGTGGTTGGCCTTCCTGTCATTCTGGTAGGAATGTTTAGCTACACAGCTGCCTACCACTTATACCTGAAGTAGGTAGGATGCCTCTGTGATCTTTAAGGTCTGGTGGCTATCACAGTGAAGCTTGCTGGGTGGGGACAAGCTCTTTGTGAATGGTGTGCTCTAACCTCTAGTCTCTCTGCCTCAACAATGCGCATGCCACTCACTGGCACCCCATCCCTTCCCAGAGCCTACTCCACCCCCACCCCCTTCTACTTTTCCTCCTGGGTCCCTTGTCTACCTTTCTGTTCCTCATCCTACAGTGAGGGAGACTCAGATGTAGACTCAGAGCTGGAGGACCGTGTCGACGGGGTCAAGTCTTGGTTGTCAAAAAACAAGGGACCTTCCAAAGCAGCTTCTGATGATGGCAGCTTGAAGAGTTCCAGGTGAGCACATGGCCTTGAACTGGGGGAAAAGCCATCAGGCTACTAGGAGTGGATGGGCAGTTCCTTGGCCCCAAGAGGGCTGGTCTCATGCCATGTGTGTTGCTCTTCTGGTGACTGTGTGAGGGGCCCACATGTCTCCTGGCCTGTTTAATGAGCACAGACGCTGCATCTTGCCTATGTTTCTCAGGTAAGATTTCCCATTAGGCTTTGACCTGTGGTATAGGTTTATCTTCATCCCTATTTACCTATTCAGCCTAGGGTAATGGAACTGCTTGATTGAGCCCTTGGAATCCAGACTGGGAGGGGCAAAAGGGACTCTGCATCCCACAGCCCTCCACAGGGCAACCCTTACCAGCTCTGGATCGCTGCTGCCCTAACAGGAGTAACAGTGAAAAGGTACCAGTTCCATTGAATCCTATCATAGTCACAGCCACCTTCTTTCCTCTGCTCATTCTCCCTTTCTTCTAAGCCTTTCACTGCCCAACCCCCAAGCTCCCTGCTAATAGCCACCTGCTGGAGGGACTTGCTCTCCTATTTTTTAACCAGTCATAGTCTTCCGATCATATTGTCAGCTGATGCTAGAAGCCAGACCTCTTGTTTCCCATCCCTTCCCGGCCCACAGAGTACAGGGAGGAGAAATGGTCTTTGCTGCCTCCCCTCCTGTAGGTACTTCCCTACTAGTTTACACACACACACACACACACACACACACACACACACACACTCCCCAGCACACACACACACACACACACACACACACACACACACACACACACACACACTCCCCAGCCTGATCTTCCTTCTTCACCTATCTATAGATAGCAGGTGGCCTGGGTAGAGAAAGTAATATCCCCTTCCCCTCCTCCAACTCCTTCAGGCCCTTTCCCCAAATCCAGCCCCTCACCACCAGCAGCACCCAGCAGCCCCTTCTAATTAGTTTAATTTTTTTCAGCCAAACATTTTGTTATTGCAGATAATGCTGCTTTCCCCGCCCCACTGCCGTTCACCATGGCGTGGCAGGAGGCTCCAGGTAGTTGACAATGAAATAAATTGAACTAAACGTTTTAGAGGGGGAAAAGTGATGAAATAGAACAATAGTCTAATTTACATGACATTCTCCATGAAGCTATTTTCACTGACGCAAATTATTTTGCTTCATTTCCTCCGATGCTCTCGCCACCACTTTGCCAGAGCTGCTGCCGTTTTCTCCTCCTCTGCTTCCCTCCCCCTGTGTCTTTATTCTTAAGGTTTAATGCTGGTTCCTCTCCCTCTCCCTCTCCCTTTCTCCCTCCCCCCTCTCTCTCCTCTCTCTCTCTCTCTCCCCAACCTACTCTGGGTTCCCTTCTCCCGGGTCTCACATCCCCCCTTAGGACGGCCCTCAACAGCCTCCCTAAAGAGGGCAAGGGGCTGGAGGAGAGGCCAGCCTCTGTGCTCAGCTCACTCAGCTACCGCAAGCGGCTCACCCTGAAGGATTCCATCGGGGGCACAGGAGACCAGGACTCACTCTTCACCACCCTGAGCGAACATGCTGCCTCTCCTGAGAGGCCCCCCAGGAAGGCCCGCCCAGGCCCCAAAGAGGAGCCTGGCCAGGGTCAGGGTAGAAAGTCTGAATTGCCGGATGACTATAGCTCCATCTTCTCAGGGACTAGCAGCCGTGCAGGCCGGGGTCTGGAGAAACGCTGGGGCTCAGATTTTGACAGGGCCTCAACTGTCTCTGCACCTGTCAGCCGGGCCTCCTCAGCCACTCGCCATGGCTCTGGAGAGGATGGAGCCCGCTCCTCTCTGAGCTTCTCTCTGTCAGGCTCACCCAGCTCTCGCCGTAGCACCTCCAGGCTCGACAGCCTGTCAAGGACTTTCAGCCCTTCCTGGAGCCGGGCCTCAGGTCTGGGCCGAGAGAGCCCTGACTCCCGCCTGTCCCTGGGCCAGAGCTGCCTGGATGAGTGGGATGATGGAGCCAGTGTGGCCTTGAGTGAAAGCCACTCACAGTTCAGCCACCCATCGCTGGCCCGCAGCCTGTCTGTGCCCCCCCAGCCACATGGCCTAGCCTCAGCCTCAGCCACTGAGGAGTCTCTCAGTTCCAGTGTCCGCCCTGTCAGCCGCCACTCTTACCTGGACCCAGACTTGGAGGCTGCCATCAACGAGGTCTTGAGCTACAAACCTGTGCCATTCCAGCGGAGCAGCCTGGACCCTGACTCAGAGGAGGATGACAAGAAGAGCATCCAAAGTGCCCGGAGTGCCCAGCTAGACCTCCCAGAACGAGGCACCAGCATGCGGCGCTCAGCCTCTGCTGTTGATGTCTCTGGGTCACGCAGTGGCCGCAAGAGCCGGAGCAAGCGCAGGAGCAGAAGAAGCAGCCCCAGCTCCAGCTCCAGCTCTAGCTCCAGCTCTGAAGGCTCCTCAGAGCACAAGCGGCGGAAGAAGGGACGCTCTCGGAAGAGCAAGAAGAAGTCCAAATCGAGAAGGAAGAAAACTGAGACAGAGTCTGAGTCCTCATCTTCATCCAGTGCTTCCACTGTCTCAGGCCATAGCCGCTCAAGCGTGAAGAAGGGCCCACCGGCAGAAAGTGAGGAGGCTGGGCAGGCAAACCAGCGGTCCAGGAAGGAAGAAAAGAAGCGCAAGAAAGAGGTGGACAGCCTGATGATGCGGTACCTGTACCGTCCGGAGAGTGACTAGCGCAGTAGGTGGCACCTGGCGTGGAGTGCAGCATGGTGTGTCGCACTCGGTGTGAATTAACATGCTCCTTGTCCCACCACCTTAGGCCCTGCCTATATTCCTCTTGGACCAGCCTAGCCTCAGAAAAGCCACCTGGCTACCTTGGAGAACAGAGTCCAATGGAGCTCTGAGCCCACGAGGCTGAGCTCCCTGCTGATGTATTATAGCTCCCACTTACCACCCTGGGCTCCTCACCCTGGGCCAGAGGCCACCTTACTATGCCGTGCTTTCCGCTCTTAATCCTCAGAATACCTCCTTAACATAGGTTCCATCATCCCTGTTTCCTAGAAAAGGAAACAGAGGTTCAGAGGTTGCATAGCCAAGATCACACAGCTGGCAAGTGACCTTGCCAGAATCTCAGTGGGATCTGTTTAACTGTTACTCTGGACCTTAATGGCTTCTCCACATGTCTGAATGCAGAGCACCCGGGTGACATGGGAGTGCTAGGAAACACCCATTTGAGAGCTTCTGTCTGTGGCTCCAATAAGCTGAGCCCAGAAAAGGGCCCTGGCTGTGGGTTGGTGCATCTGTGGCTGAAAGCAACTATGAGGTCTTTTGTTCTGCTCCCAAAGCCACCTCCCTCCCTAGCATGGATCTCAAGCCCAGGAGAACCAGGGTTCCAGGCAGCAGCCCATGGACACCACACCCTAAGGCAGACTCAAGATGCCTGATGTGCCCTCCCCATTCCTCCCACCCGAGCACACAGCCCACACATTGAGCCTCGTCACCTCAGCTCTGCTGGCTCGTGAAGTTCTAATGAACAGAAATTAGCAGCTGCTGAGTGACAGCCCCCTCCTGGCTCTCCTGCCTCCCCCAGCTCTTCTCTCTATGGGGAAGGAGCTATAGCAGTTTGGTCCATTGTGCCCACACCCCCACTGCGCGGGAGAGGCAGAGCCTGACTCATTGGAATCCCATTGTTGTCACTTCCCTGGTGGGTGGTGACATTTTGGATCACTGGGTTGCAGGTTGTATGAAGCATGATACCCTCCCAGGAGACATAACCCCAGAGTTCAGCCCCCTGGGGGTACAAGGATTGTTTCCCAGATGCATGAACTAACACACCTGTCGCATGCAAGTACTGGACAAATACACTGACTTTGGATGGTTGTATCAAAAGGGATCCATCCAGGGTCCCTTTAAGGCATGGAGGAAATGGAGGTGAATGTTACTTTGGAAATAAGTGATTGGGATGGCATGGGATGGTGTGGGATTGGTGAAGTGTGATACGAGAGATAGAACTGGAACCATATTCAGGTCATGGCCAACTCATAACTTAGACTTGAACTGCTCTAAAACTACCCCTGGGGTTCTGTCACTCCATGTGGCAGATGGTTACAGGGTGCTCTGAGGAGAGCAGGAAGCACTTCAATTGTATTCGGAAGCTCTTCTCTGCCACATAGTAAGACAGGAGTCAAAATATTTGGTCAAGCATTTCAGCCTGCCTGTGGCAGCCTTGCACCCTAGGGCAGGGAGTCAGTTGATGGTAGAGGGGGAGGCCTCAAAACCACGCAGCCCTGCTTGCTGCACCCCTTGCCTCCCCACTCAGAGATCTTAGCCTCCTTGGTGCATCTCATGCTGACTGTCAGCTGACAACAGTCTTCAAAAACCCAATATTTTCAGCCCCTCATAACCTTTGACTCTACAGCCAGCAGGAACAAAGGGACAAGCTGTTTCCTCCACTGCCTACCAGCTGAGTTCCTCCTGTCTACCAGAGAAATGATCCTGAAACCCTACCCTCTTTTGGCTCTGAGGAGGACTAGATCCACTGTTGGTAGAGGGGCCCCCAGCCAGAAGCTAGCCAACCAGCACTGAGTGGAGAGAAGAGCAGGGGAGGGAGGACCTCGCTAGCTCTCCACATTAACTGGCTTTAGGGTGGATACACTGCTGAGAGTATATCCATACCCTCACCTGATGACCAGAAGCAGTGGGTGGGGACAGAGCTGAAGCCCAGTTCCCCCGTCTGGTACGAGGACCAGGGAATCAGCATCCATAGCAAAGCCGAGAGGAGGGGAGCTACCACCCTGGGCTCTCCCAATGGGAATTAGCTTATGGACCAAATTGTTTGTGACAGCGCTGAGCAGGAGACACTGGCTTGTGGGGAGGAAAGCTTTTTAAACAATTTGGTTAAAATGTTCCAATTGCCTCTTGCTCTGGGGAAGAGGAAAGCTGCCTGCTGTTGGCCTGCTGATGGCTGTGGCTGTAGATGCCACTGAGGAGACCAGCCAAAGAGAACCCAAGGTAGAAGCCAAAGGGGTCTTGTGATCCACAGCCCAGGGAAGAGTGAGACATGGCACTTACCACGTCCTCACCACCTCTGCCTCCGCCTCTGCCCAGTGTCTTGGTGGAACATATCCAAACAGGGCTGTTTACCCAGGTGTCTGAAATGTGGGCTCAGGAATGTGATGGTAGGAGTTGGAACCCTACTCTGAGAAGAGGTGAAGGATATACACGAGCTCTGGGCCAGAATCTAATAGGTCACACAAGGCTAGACTCTCCAGCAATGCCTCATTTGCATCTGGATTCCAGTCCTGACATGTTCGCTGCCCCTTTGCTACAAAATATCCCCGTCTTCCCTTTGCTCAGCAGCAAATCTTTAGCACTGAGTGCTCAGAAATGCTGTTAAGAAAAGGAAAACAAAACCTGGCTCCCACTAATTTAGAATTCAAACAACCCCCAGGCTAAAATAACCCCCATTTTTTTCCTATATTGCACAATCATCAATGAGCTTTATAATTTTGTCCGGGAGACACCTCTGAGTCCTTAAGTGCCTCTGGCACATCAAAGTAAGACTCATTTATGTTCAGTCTAGTTTGTATTAAGTGTGTTTTGTGCCATTGTGATTCCTTTAAAAATGGTAATTCATTCATGAGAAATAAGATAACTATTAACCAGACTGCCCATTCCTGAACCATTTTGCATAATTGAACATGTATTCTCCAAGGCTCTTCCCCCCCCTGGGGTGGGGGGGAGGGAGAGAGGGGGGAGAGGGAGAGAGAGAGGCAGAGAGGGGGGGCTGAGAGAGAGAAAGAAAGAGAGATCCTGTCTTTACACACCTGTGGGCACTCATCCAGTCAGCAGGCGATTTCAGGTCTGGTCTTGTTTTCTTCTCAGGCATCCACACTATCAGCTGAGTGAAAGTCCCAAGGCTTTGAGGTTCAGGTTCAGGTTTATGTCCTGGCTGTGTGCCTTTGGACAAGGTGCTTCATCTCTTTGAACCACCTTTCTCATAACATATCATAGGGTTGCTGTGAAGAATGAGGCAGCATATTTAGGGGGCCTTGGCCATGTTCCATACTCAGGAGTATCCAGTGGCCAAATCCTTTCTTCTGGATCTTTCACTGACACCTCTGGAGAGGCTAAGAATGTGATTCTTTCTCACTGTACCCTGTTTCCTCTTCTGTGCTTTGGGCAGAAAAGTCTGTGAAACCCTTCTGTTCCAGTTAACCAAAAACCAGAATTGGAAGTAGCAGAGCACAAGCCTTAACCAGAAAGTCTAAGGAGCATCCAGTCCCTGAGTTCAAGCCCTAGTCCAGTATGTGCACATGCGCACACACACACACACACACACACACACAGGCATCACTGGACTCTACTCAAGAGCTGTCAAGTCAAAGCTTCCCTAAGGAGAAGAACCCAGGAATCTGCAGCCGATTCTTTCTCTCACTCAAGCCTGAGCATCTCGGCTCTCCAGGATCCCAATCATAAGAGTTTTAAAAAGCCTTCCAAGTCCAAACTGTGCTCCTTTCTCTAACTACATTGAGTATCTCCCAGGGGAGCCAAGGGAATGTGTTTGTTTAGCAATCTTTGGTTTTTAGAGTGCCCTAACGGCTTCGGGGCCCCACAATAGAAAAGTCATTTAATCTTGGCCTTGCTCCTCTCTCCCTGCAGCCCCACCAGCCATTGGAAGTCTCTTGCCCCTGATCGGTCAGATGATGAGAACGACCCTCTGGACAGCACCTCCAGACCCCGATATTCCCACAATTATCTGAGTGACAGCGACACAGAAGCCAAGCTGACAGAGACCAATGCATAGCCCAGGGGAGTGGCTTGGAGACCTCCTACCCCACAGCCTCTCCCAGGAAATGGCAGGGCACCGGCTCCCCACCCGACTGCTGAGCTGCATGGAAAACACCCCAGCGCTCTTCCATCAGGGGGATTTTTCCAGGCTGTAGGGGTCCAACATCTCCATGGGGAAAAGATGAGGAAAGAGGAGTTTCTGAACAGAGGACTTTCAGCCCCTCCCCGCCTCACAAATGCCAAGCCCTTTGGCATCTACCCTGGGCCGCTGTGGGCAGTGGCTGGTGGCCTGACACTGCATGGAGCCAGCAAGTTGACCTCCATCTCAGCCCCCTGCTCAGGGACAGTGGACAGATCGCCTGCTTGGGCCACCTAGGTTGCTGGGTCCATGGGGAGGAGGAGCAAGGGAGGGGGACTGCAACTCCTCCCCTCCAGTTTGGGGTGAGGGCTTTCTCTTCTCAGTGCCTGCTGTCTTTTTACTTTTTAATTTAAATACCCACCCTCTCCATCACAGCTGCACCCCTGAGAGTGGGAGGGGGGCTGCAGTGGCAGCTGGGGCCCCCACTGGCCACCTCAGGAATCTCCTCCAACCCCATTCCTCCTGGCACAGTCCTTTCTTTATGCAGCGTGGGGGAGGGCTGCCAGGTGCTTCTGGTTAGGCCTTGCCAGCCTCTACGGATGGGTGCCTCTCTGCCATGGAAACTCCCAAGCCCCACCCTAGCCTCTTCTCATCACTGTGTTAAGTGCAATGACTTATTTAAGAGTAAACCCATTCCACCTATGCCAAGGGGCTTACCAAGCACTTCCTCCCTCCACTCTGTCCACATCGCCAGCCATCAGCTCCACTTGAGAAGGGTGGACTGGGGCTGAGGACTTGTGGGGGGAACAAGGGAAGATGGAGGTGCTGGTCAATGGCCGGTGTGTATCAGACATGAGTTCTCACCCTGTGTCCTGAGCCTGTGTCACATTTCTCATCTCCCTGTCCCCATAGATTAACTTCAGACCTGGCAACCAGCAGTCTGGAGGTCCCAGCAAACCTACCCCACAAAAGTGATCCTACCAACTCCACTAGACTTGGGGGCCCAAGGGCAGTGCCTGGTGCTGCTCCCTTCTGCCGTCCCCCTTCTCTCCTGCAATTGGTTTGTATTCATTGGGCTGCGCTTTCCCTTGATGACCTGACATATGGAAATAAAGGCCCTTTTCCTCTTGGCCCCACCAGCTTTTCTGCCTCTTTCTTCAGGCCTAGGCAAAGTCCAGGAGTGGTCACCAGGTGGGGACAGAAGCAGGATTCTGTCAGGGACATGAGTTCCCTTGGTCTCTGCTTGGGTGAGAGACAGCCTTGGCAGGCCATTCAAGGCAGGCAGAGGGAATTGGTCAAAGACAGAAGAGTCTTCACTTTATGTTGAAGACTTATAGACTGTAATTCAGGTTGGCAGAGCTATCCAAGCCTCATCTCCTGGCCTCCATGGGATAATGTTGCTGATGTTGCTGTCCATAGAACTGCTTAAGCACTCCCCGCTCCCCACCCAGTTGTAGGTCTTGAACTCAGGACCTGGGTATTCTCCCTGAGCTCTTTCGCTCAAGACTAATGCTCTACTACTTAGAGCCAAAGGTCCGTTTCTGAGTTTGTTTGTTTTTTTATCAGTTGTGGGGCTTGAACTCAGGGCCTGGGCACTGTCCCTGCACCTCTTTGTGCTCAAGGCTATAACTCTACCACTTGAGCCACATTTCAGGTTTTTGAGTGGTTAATTGGAGATGAGAGTCTCACAGGGACTTTTCTGCCTAGGCTAGCTTCAAACCAGGATCCTGAGATCTCAGCCTCCTGAGTAGCTAGGATTGCAGGCATAAGCCACTGATGCCTGGCTCCAAAGTAATTTTCGTTTGTTGTTGTTGTTGGTCGTGGGGCTTGAACTCAGAGCCTGGGCGCTGTCCCTGCAGTTTTTTGTTCAAGGCTAGTGCTTTGAGCTACAGCTCTGCTTCTGCTTTTCTGGTGATTAATTGGAGATTAGAGTCTCACAGACTTTCCCGCCTAGGCTAGCTTGGAACCACAATCCTCATAGCTCAGCCTCCTGAGCAGCCAGGGTCACAGGCATGAGCCTCCAGTGCCAAGTGAAAGGTAACTTTTTTTTTTTTTTTGGTCGGGCATGGGGCTTGAACTCTGGGCCTGGGCACTGTACCTCAGCTCTTCAGCTCAAGGCGAGCACTCTACTACTTCAGCTACAGCGCCACTTCTGGTTTTCTAGTGGTTTATTGGAAATAGGAGTCTCACGGTCTTTCCTGCCCGGGCTGGCTTTGAACTGTGATCGTCAGATCTCAGCCTCCTGAGTAGCTAGGATTACAGGCATGAGCCACCAGTGCCCAGCAAAAGGTAACTTTTTGATCAAAAGCAGAATGTTCTTTGGCTCTGCCTTCTTTATAGCCTGGCATCTTGCCCTGCTCAGTCCCTGCCTGTATGCTTGGTCCATGTTCCTTCACTCACAGCTATGAGATTGATACAGATGGGAAGAAACAATCTCTGTCCTCCTCCTCTGCCTTCTATAATGTGGCCAGTTATAATCCCTATAGGAATTTAGTAGTTTGGGAACATAATAAGGGAAGGGTATTATGCTGAGGCTGTGATGTCAGCCTTGCAGAGAAAGTCAAGATAGCGAAGGGGAGAGAAAAGCTTCCAAAAGAAATTGAAGAGAACTATGAAATGAATCCATCTTAAGGAGAATTTCCCTTTGCTACTCCACAGTAGAATAGAGCAGGTAGTAAAAGTGTGTGTGTGTGTGTGTGTGAGTGAATGCGTGCATGTGCACATGTATGTTGCTAGGGATTGAACTTGGGGCCTTGCATTTTATAGACCAGTGCTGTACCACTGAGCTACATCCTGCTCATCCTGAGCTACATCCTGGCTCATGATCTATCACATCTTTTCCTCAGGTTCCCCACCACCACCACTGGCAGTACTGAGATTTGAACTCAGGCCCTTGTGGTTGCTAAATAGACTTTACCATTTGAGCAATGCCTTAAGTGCTCCTCTTTTTTTAAAATGTGATTGGGGGGGGGGAGGAGGGAAGGCAGCTGGTTGAACACAAACCCTCATGCATGCAAAAACCCTAAGCAAGCACACTGAGCTATACTCCTAGCCCTTGAATTTTTGAGACAGGCTGTTACTATGTAGCTTAAGTTGGTCTCAAACTCCTGATCTTCCTGTATCAGTATCCTAAGTGCTGTGATTACAGGCCAGCACCACCACACCAAGTATGGAGTAAAGGGCTTTGCTCATCAGAAAACTTGTATGATTCCTTTGCTCAACAGTTACAAAAAATTTCCTAAATGCCTGCTGTGACCTAGACACAGCTCTAGGTACTGAGAATGGGTCAAATCCCTTCATAAAATAGTGGGAAGGTGGCTCAGTGGTAGAGCGCTTGCCTTGCATGCCTGAGGCCCTGGGTTTGATTCCTCAGCACCACATAAGCAAAAAGAAAAAAGCCAGAAGTGGCGCTGTGGCTCAAGTGGTAGAGTACTAGCCTTGAGCTGAAGAGCTAAGGGACAGCGCCCAGGCCCAGAGTTCAGGCCCACGACCGGACCCAAATGTGGAAATGTGCCCGGCGCCAATGGCTCACACCTGTAATCCTAGCTACTTAGGAGGCTGAGATCTGAGGATCGCGGTTCAAAGCCAGCCCAGGCAGGAAAGTCCGTGAGCCTCTTATCTCCAATAAACCACTAGAAAACCGGAAGTGGCACAGTAGCTCAAGCAGTAGAATGCTCACCTTGAGTTGAAGAGCTGAGGGACAGCACCCAGGCCAAGAGTTTAAAAAAAAACATGCACTGCACCTGCTAGTATAAATTGGAGAGGGTAGAGAGCAATAAATCATACTTCACATCTAGGGGCTTGTAGACTGGGGCTGAGGGAGATTAAGACATAAGATATAACAGAAAAGAAGCCACTTTGGAGATAGGAAGAGAGGATCTTCTTAAGGGAGTCAGTCTCTTTGATGGAGAGTGGGTGAGATACTGGGAAGGATCAGATCTGATCCCAAAGCAGTGGGCTCTGCCAGTTCAGGCAGGTGCCTTGCACTCACTGATACTTCAGAAGGAAAGATAACACGTCTACAGGTAGACAAAGCTGGGGCAGAGCTATTCAGAAGAAAGCTTAAGCAAAGGTCTAAGAAGTGATGATACAGCATACCACAGGTTATCTGGCAAAGTTAGAGGTCGTCGTCATCCTGACCTCTCATGACTATAATGTTTCTCTAGGCTTCAGCAAAGCCCCTTTGCCAAGGTGCTGGGCTGTAGGTTCTGAAGCCCTGCAACACTTGAGCACTAACTCTCTAGAGGAGTCTGTGGTAAAGGGCCACCAAAACCTGTATTCACTATGATAGCTCCAGTTTCTCAGATGTATATGACTCCTGCAAATCAAAGTAACTCTCTCCCTGTGCCAGGCTCCAAGCCGATCTGCTAGCTCCTTTCCAATGCTCAGACCCTCAGGATTTCTTTGACTCCTGAATAAGATGAAAGGCAGGAAAGGAAGTCCTGTGGGACAACACCTCCCCCCCCACCCCTGTCCCACAGTGCCTAGAGAACTACAACAGCACGCATTGACCCCCGAACTGCCTCCTCATGTCCTTGTGTCCCCTTGGCAGATTATTCCAGTTGTCCTTTCCCCACTCCCCGCCCCCGTGCCTGGTGGCACAGACACTTAGCGATTTGCTCCTTAATTGTCCCCCAGCTAGGCTGCGCAGATGCCGCTCTTTAATCTCTCCTGATAAATGAATCGCGCTGCTCCTTTAATCATATGTTCATATCCAAGCCAATTTGAATCAATTTGGCAGGAAGCGTGTTTGCAAGAGATGCCATGACTGCTGTTTCTCCCCCCAGGGCCCCAGAACCAGAATGACTGCTGTCCTTACCCTCAGCAAAGAGCCCAGGAGACCCATCCAGGAAAAGGATCTCCGACCTGAATGGTGGGGACTTTTTAAAGTCATCTATCTCATTCATTTCTGTCCACCATGCAGGCTGTGTGGTACTGGAAGATGGATTCCCAGAAGCCTCAGAAGTGGAAGGGAGGGGGAGAAGTCCACAGCCTTCCTTGGTCACTGAATAAAGGACCCTATTATCATCCCTGAGAGAAAGTGCTGCCTTAAATCTAACCTTAATCCTTTCTGCTCTGCTTTCATTTCCTCTGGGCTGCTTCTTAGGGAAGCTGGAACACTTCATTGCCTTTTATATAGAAACACATTCCAGACCAGTCTATGATAATTTGTCCTGGCCTGCTACTGGTGGCTGCAGCCGACTCCTTTCATCTTCCCCTAGAACATATTCTTTTCTAAATCCTCCAGCAGTGGGCAGTTGGGAACTTGCCAGGTAATGTGCTAAGTTCTGGGGTCTACGTGCGGTGGTAAAACATAAAGTAAATAACGGACAAAATCTGCTCAGCTAAGGGCTTCTGCCACTAGCACTGCAATCTTGGAGAAGAGGTGGAACTTCCCTGGCCTGAGTTCCCCGCTGTGCAAAGCAAGATGATATTGGTGGGATGAATTTTTGGTTACCCTAATTCAGGGCTCTTCTTACTGCAGCCAACAGGATCTCCCCACCCTGTCCTTCATTGCTCTGGTAGAGTCAGAGTGACCCATGGGTGGTACCCGTGGGCTGTAAAAGCTAAAGAACTGGGGGCAAAGTGGTGGCCACTGTGACTCCAGGTTTCTCAACTTCTGGTGTGCCTCAGGATTGGTTTCCATCCAGCTCTTTATTGCACTTTATTCTTCCCTCAGAGCTTACCCAGTGCAGGCAGGTGCTCTGTATTCACTCAGAAACCAGAATGTCATTAGCATCTTCAGATATCATTTGCAAATTCGCACCCATATCTTCAGTGGCAAAGGCCTAGAACTTTGCTCCTACCTTTACCTCACTCTCCAGTTCTTCCCACACTTTCTGGAAGTCACAGTCGATGGCCCTTAAAAGGGTAGTATTCGCTCTGTATTGATCTGGGGACAGGGCCAAGCCCATAGCTCTGACCTTGTAATGATTACAGCAGCCTGAGATCCTGCCTACTTTCTACAACAAGGAAATACTCTTTCCCAGCCCTTTAAGGGCTCCACGATGTCCTGAGACAATGCCTGGAGCTGAGTGGGCCTTTCCAGCTTGTCTATAGTGACCTATGTGAGGACAATGCAGGTTATGAAACTAACAATTCCTCCTGTTTGTTGAGTACTTACTATGTCCCC